ATTTGGGGATTTTGACAGGATAGCCATCGACGAAGACCTCGATTACCTCATTTGGGTTGGCAATGTGAACCCTAGCTCCGCCCACTGGAGTCCACTTCAGGAGATCTACCGGCGGCTGGTCTTGAAAAATAATCTGTCTGTCATGTTTCTCCTCCCACGACTCGTATATACAAAGATATAGGGAAGACAGAAAACGAAAGTGCAGGAGATAATAAGCAGCGTTCTCATCCTAAAGCTGTCTAAATTAATCCCAGAGAAAATTTCAAGAAATCTGATAATGGATGCATAAACAGTGAGGGAAAATTGGAATAGAAAAAATTAAATCCAAGAAATCAAAATCAAGCGCCATGGCAGCATCTCTCTCGACTGGTGTCGCAACTCTGGCACCAGTCTGTTCGTAATTTCGGTTCTCTCTTCGCATCAAGATTCTTCTATTCAGTTCAATTGATTCTTGGCATCTTTATCTCAGTTCATCGATTTTCACCGATCGCAGCAACTTTTCGCCTCACTCCATTAATTGCATCTCAGAGGTAATATTGTAATTTGAAAAATATGATTTTTTAATTTTTTAAATAAAGTGAAATATTATAAGAATAATTTAGTCACTTGACATACCCAATTGACAGAATTGGAGTAAAATGATAACATTGTTATATTGTTGGGGGTTTAAAAACTGGTTGGAGTTTTATGATCACTTTTTAATAGTTTTGATGGTTTTGAAAAATTTGTTCTTATTTTAATTAATTTATCTTATGAAGCCATATTTATTATTGGGTTAAGTCAAAGTTGGATAATTTCAATAAAATGAGGTTAACCTAAATGCTGACGTGGACATGAGTTTTACTGTTTATTTTAATTGCTTACCTAAAATACCCTTTTTTTTTTTTTTTTCTTTTGAATCAAATTACATTACTGGCCCTTTCTCTCTCCTCCTCCGTAGCTCATTTTCTCTCTCTACTCTTTCTCATCAGACCAAAACTTCTTTTCTTCTCAACAGTCCCCTTTCGCTATGGACTCTCTCAGTCTCTCTCCACAAAGAAACCCAACAACAGAGGTCTTCTATGACAACAGAAGTTTGATACACCATATCACCCTCAATTCCTCCTCAATCGCCCTCATCATCAACCCCATACCCAACCTCTCAATCGTCACCCGATGACACGACCATGGATCACGATCTTGATTCGACCCACAACGAACGGCCTGAGACAGCAACGATTCCGGTCACGACGCTCCTCGAACCCAGTTCCACGACCACAGCCCGATCTTGATTCGACCCACAGCGAACGGCGGGTACGACGATCCGAGCTCTACGGCGCCGCCTTTGTGGTGGTAGTGACTGGTGAACTTTGTTGTGGAACATCGCGAAATCATGGAGGGCCACCGCCGTTTTGAGCTCGCCACGTTGCGATGGTCGTCGACCATCTCTCATGTTCTCTGTTATATATACATGTACATATATGTATTTACCCATATATATATATATATACCTCTGTGTGTGCAAATATATGTGTGATGTATATGATGGGTGTGTCTGCAATATGTATGTGATGGAAGGAAAAGATAAGAGGCGGCGGGCTTACTTTCGGCGAGAGTTGCAAGACCCAGTTCGTACCAGGTAGGGCCAAAATGATACTTAAGCTCTGTTTTGCTTCTAATTTTCAAGTTAAAGAGAGAGTGGTAGGAGATTGAATTGTTGGGTTTCAGTTGGGTAGAGAGAGAATGGCCATAGAGAAAGGGGCGGTATAATGAGATTTGGTCTGATGAGAGAGAGTAGAGAGAAAACGAACTGCCGAAGAGGAAAGAGAAAGGGGGTAGTAATGTAATTTGATTCAAAAGTAAAAAGGGTATTTTAGGTAAGAAATTAAAATAAACAGTAAAAATTTATGTACACATCAGCATTTGGGTCAACCTCATTTTATTGAAACTATCATACTTTGACTTAACCATATAGTAAATATGGCTCTATAAGTACATTTATATGTAAAAATTCCATAAAGATAAGCATAAATTTTGATGACATTAGACTAAAGAAATAGATAATTTTGATAAATGAATAAAGATAAGTATGAATTTTGATGACATTAGACTAAAGAAATAGATTAGAGTCTTGGTATGACTATCACCGCTCTTTTAATAAATTAATAAACTTGGCAATGGTTATTTGTTTCCCACGGGTGTGATAATGCATAGTTGAGATAAACATGTAAGCGGTAATATTTTAAAATATTGAGTAGAGTCCTTTGTTTGAGTTCCTTCGGGTGAAACAGAAAATCAAATTTTTTTAAAAAAATTTGGGTAACAGTAACACTACTCAAAACTTTAACTTTGAATTGTTTATACAAGTCAACCCATGCCAAGTTAAATTGATAAAAAATATATATATATAATAAATGAATTAACCTTTTTTAAAATTTTGGTAAATTATTGTTTGACTTTCATTACCTTAACCTACCTTAAAAATATAAAATATTTTTCCTATCAGTATCTAATTTAATACTAAGCAGTCCTATATGCCTACCTCATTATTTTCTTTTCTTTTCTTTTTTTGTTTGAAAAAAAAAAGCAGAAAGAAACATAGTCAAATGTGCACATTATTGAGTTCATTTTATATATTTATTTATCTATTGTAAACTGATTGATTGTGTTAAGAGTTTGGTTGAGACTTGTACACGCTTATATATAATTTTTACATTTTGTTATTTTTAGCTTTAGTATGAGAGTATAAAAATAATAATAATAAAAAAAACACATTCCTTCATTCCCATTTATTTAAAACGAGTAAATTATTTCCTTTTTTATTACTATTATTTATACTCATTCAAATGAGAAAAACACTAGTTTATTTTATTTATCTCCATTGTATTTCTTACACGGTAAAACAACTTCCATCATCATTTTTATTAATTTATATCTTCAGTTATGTAGGAAGACAAATTAACATTGTCACCCCATTTATTTATGTTATTTACCAATTGATGTTCTCACTTTTTCCATTTTCCTTGCATTTCATGTTTTATCATTTGCTTATCATATTGTACACATTAGAATTTTGATTCATTTACTACCAGAAGTTATTGGTTATACCATCGAAATTAGATATAAATTTTTTTTTTGGTAGAGGATGACTAAACGCTTACCGTATCACCAATTGATTTACCTCCCCACCGACCTACAAGCAATAATATATTATGGATCATTTTAATTAGTATGGAATTAATTACAAATTAGAAGTTCAAATCTAAGAATTAGCTAGAATTATTTTAGGACAAATTACTTGTGAGTAAAACATCAGAGAGCGGATGATAGATAAATGGTTTTGCATAATCATCGTCAAAACCATTAGGAGGTGGCTTATATTTATTTTTGTCGAGTGCATAATATGTAGTTTATTCCGATGAAATCATATGATTCTTTCAGCAACTTTTGTTGATATTCGGTAAAAACTCGAAGACCTTTCACTCTCTCTATAACGCCAAACGACCAAACACGGCTTACAGCATTGGAACTGCAAGTCCAAACTCTGAGTCAGGGTATGGACCAGTTGATTCAGCAAAATGCAGCGCTCTTGCAACATCTTGTTCCACCGGTTACTTGCCACGACAAGATCTCTCAAATTCAAACGAAGGTAATGGGAATCTTGAAGAACAGGATAATTATCCTTCCCAAAATGAGACTGAAGTGGAACAAAGCCAGGTGGGAAACCGACATAGAGAGGTGGTCCACCCATCTCTCCCACGGAGTTCCCGACCTCATAAAAGGCACAACTTTCTGTCTTAAGGAAAAGACAGAGAAAGCTACCTATTTCGACCTGCAGATCAAGGATCTCAAGGGGAAAATGAAATATGTAATGCGGGCTATAAAAAGGAAATGTCAGACACACACATATATAAAAAGAATGATGAAGAGGAAGGAAAGAAGAAGATATAAAACCAATTTAATTCTAATAGTATGGAGAGGGAAACTGAATAATTTTGGAAGCAAATCCCTTATGTAATATAAAATGAAAATTAAAATTGTTTTCATATATAGTTCTTCTTGGGGTTTTTATATTATAAATAAATAAAAAAGCTTCAAAATACACACATATATATATACACCGAGGGTTTTGGAAAGAGACCCACATCTTTTTTTTTTTTGGTTAAAGGAGAGACCCACATCTTTCTTAAAAAAAAAAAAACCACACATACACACATACAAAGTGCTCTTCTCTGGAGTAGTTTCAAAATCTTGAAAAGAGCGAACCAGATGAGGAAATGGTGGAGGCGCCACCAGCCGTGAGCAGGCGGCGAGACCCTCCATTGCTCACCGCCATCATACCACCTCGTCCATAATCACCGCTGTCGTCGGACCACCTCATCCACCATCACCGCGATACCAAATTGGTTTGATTAGGTTTTATTGGTTTGATTTTAGGGTTTTGGGTTAGCATGCGTGGAGGAGGATCAACGGAGAAGATGAGGAATTGAACGCTATTTTTTTCACTAGTATAGGAGGATTGTTGAAGAGCTTGACGTAGATGGGTTTGAATTGATTGGAGATACATAATGGGGATGTGTGTGTATGTATATATGTATGTGTGTTTGATTCCCAAATCAATTTATTTCTGGGAAGTAAATGCAAACATGTGATTAATATTGTAGTGGTGGAGGTTGCGGTGGGTGGTGGTGGATTTTTGATGAAGGTGAGAGGGTAGAGAGAGGAACCTAACCAGAGCAATTTCGTCATTTAAAAGTTATGATATTTCATATTAAAATTAATATTTTATTAAAGGGTAATATCGTTTTTTCCACTTTTTAAGGGCCTGTTTGGGTCAAAAAAAAAAAAAAATTTAGAGTGGGTGTTATTATTAAAAAATAACCTAACTTTCAGTGTTAATAGGGCAAATCTTAAAGGTACGAGTGTAATTAATTCAAAAAAATAATTACTAACGAAGTAAATGATAGGACCTATATGCCCTTTCCTTGTGTAGTTGATGACACGTGATAAATTCTTGGATTTTATTAACCTATTTCCTTAGAAAGACCCCACTCCCGTTGACATCTCGACACCACCATATACACTATAAACGGAGTAGGTAAAGGATGCAAGTACACATACATTCAACCCAAACCAAAGCAAACATGGCCTTAGATGAAAATCTCTTCCACTATATCCTCATCTCTTTCTTCTTCATCGGACCACCCATCTTCATCTCTCTCCGGTTCCTCCAGGCTCCCTACGGCAAGCACCACCGTCAAGGGTGGGGCCCTGTCATACCCCCACCCTTAGCCTGGTTTCTGATGGAGAGTCCCACCCTCTGGCTCACCCTCCTCCTCTTCCCTTCTGGCCAACACCGCTCCAACCCAAAAGCCGTAATCCTGATCTCCCCTTTCCTCCTCCACTACTTCCACCGTACCGTCATCTACCCCCTCCGCATGCATCTCAAAACCTCCTACCGGAAAACTACCAGCGGTTTTCCGGTCAGTATTGCCCTGATGGCCTTCACATTCAACCTTATGAACTCCTACTTGCAAGCCAGATGGGTCTCTCAGTATGCTGATTATGAGACCGATAGGTGGTTTTGGTGGCGGTTTTCCGGCGGGTTGGCGGTTTTTGTAAGCGGTATGGTTCTGAATGTGCAGTCAGATAGGGCTTTGGTGGCTTTAAAGGGTGAGGGTGGAGGGTATAAGATCCCAAGGGGAGGATGGTTTGAGTTAGTGAGCTGTCCAAACTATTTTGGGGAGGTAGTGGAGTGGTTGGGGTGGGCTTTGATGACGTGGTCTTGGACGGGGTTTGGGTTCTTTCTTCACACGTGTGCCAACTTGGTGCCTAGGGCACGTGCGAATCACACATGGTATTTGGAGAAATTTGGGGAAGACTATCCCAAGAGTAGAAAAGCTGTAATTCCATTTGTGTATTGAAAGAATAATATTTTTATAAAAATTTGGCCCATTTTTTAATCACGCATGCTATTTATTTTTTAATCAATATATATATCTGTCTTTTTCTAAGCAATTTGAATAACTTGTTATAGCTTTTAAATTTGTTGTGGTGCATGGGCTTTGATTGTTTTTTTTTGTATACCTTGATTTTTATTTTTGCTAGTTTTGTTTCTGATTCAATGACAATGAAGGGAAAGGAGACTTGATATTTAACTGCACACTCGGATAATTGTGGTTAGATTTTAGATTGCTGGTCTTCCCAGATCAGCAGCTCAAAACAATTGTAAAATGTGATTCGTTTAAAGATCATAGTAATAAATTTTGGCTTTTGAAAATTAAGAAGTATTTGTTTGGAATTTTTTATTTTTATAAAAATTGAATTATTGAATATATTTTTTAGGTGTATGTTCCATGCTTGAGTTTCAAATATTGCAGGTCCCACACAGCTACTTCGCCTATTTTTGAAGAGTCCACATAACATAGGTTGCAACTGCTAAAGCTACAAAACCATTCCAGTTTACTGTCTACAGGAAGAAATGAGAGAGAGAGAGAGAGAGGTGGGGGGACAACAGCAGCTGCAAAACTTAGGTGAAAGGCAACCCCATATATTCTCCTCCAGATAATTAAAAGCACACTGTTTAGTGTGCCATTCATAATTTATACATATTGTTTTGTGTTCATCAGTAGAAATGTACCAAGAGACAGAGTGATGCAAAAACTAATAAAATGGTGTCAATCATTTCAGACTGCTTCAAGATTAAGCAGGTATGCTGTGACTATCTCACGTTCCTCCAGATGCGAAACCTTGTGGACTCTGCAAGGAGATGACAATGAATGCTGGTAAATTCTCTCTCAAAGCCCTCTACGTAGTTTCAACAGATTTATCAACCACCTGCAACATGCTAATAATAAATAAATAAATAAAATTAATGCCTAAATTTAGAAATGACTGAATAACCTCGATCGTGAATAAAATTAAGAAATCTAGTAATCATCACAGTAATGTTATCCCTTAACATAGTCATAAATAACAGGTAGGGCCCCTTCAAAACTCCCAGTAAGACTATCACTTTGAACTATTTTTTTTTCCAATTCCAAGGCACCAATCCCACGAACCCAACATAGCATAAATGATTTTCGAACAATCTCACATTTTTAACTCAGATTGAGGATAGTTGAAATGCAAAAACACGGTGCCAAGATGGGTCCTTTCTTTTTTTCTTCCCCATCCCCACAAAACACACACGCGCACACACACACACGGAGACACACTCAAAGAGATGCTCTCGCACAGCTTGTAGGTTGAATAAGTGGCTAAGTGCATTACCCATTGTAATGTCCCTAACCTTTGGCATTATTTAACATAAAGTGATTGCTCAATGGCTGAAACCTGCATTTTCAAGTTTTGCCAGCTCAAGTTTTAACCATTGGACCAAGCAATGGCCCATAGCTAGCTGTAGACATCAATTATAAACACTCTTTGATAGAAACACCACCTCCATACAATTCATTATCTCAGCATTAATATCAACTTTAAACATTAGGGGAAAAATAAAAAATAATGAGAATGAAAGAACTTACATCAGGCAACAATGCGGTTTGGTTGAAAATTAATCGGTACTCTTGATCCTTCATTCATGGAACTGTCTTTATTTAAGTTTTCTTTAACTGTACTTCCATTGAATCCTCCAAAAGATTCCATGGCTTCAGAAATGTCCAACTTAAGCTTCTCATGCTTCTCTTTTAACCCAGAGGAATTCATAGCTTCTTCAAGGCTCTGCTTTATTTGTTGCTCCAAAGTCTGAATCTTATTTTTAGACTCCGCAACAGGTGTCTTTCCGGCCTTTGCTACCTCCAACTTCAATAGCTCAATCTTGTTCTTCAAATCTGACGAATTTATAACATCTTCGATTCCCTCGATAATTTCTCCATTAAAATCCTCCATTTTAATTTTGAAATCTGAGAATGATGGTGGTTCCACATGCAAACCTATAGACTTGAGAACATCAGCAAATTCCATAAGTACATCCTCCTTTACCTGCAGAATTTTCTCCTTTAGCCCCTGGTCTAAGTCCCCAGCACTAGACACCCCAGAGTTTTCAGTTTCAGCCTTCAGTGCCTTAATCTTCTCCTTGACATCTGGCCGATCCATGATCTCTTTCAGTCTCTTATTAATTTCCTGTTTTAATGGGACTGTTTTGTTGTTCTTCTCTGAGAGATTCTTTGCTTTGGATATTTCCTTCAACATGTCAAGCTTATATTTCAGGCTTGCATAATTAGGAGCCGAAGCAAGACCTTGGTTGTACTCATCCTTAACCTTCTCAATCTTGTTCTTTAGAGCTGGATGAATGAGCTGGTCCTTTGAATTCCTTGCTTTTGCAAATTCTTCCCGCAACATCATAAGCCTGTCCTTCAAGCCCATGGCTTTGGCTGCCTCAGAATATTCATGATCAACCTCTTTTTTCAGTTTCTCTAGCATCTCGTTCAGGCCCAACTCTGGAGATTCTGTAGACAACTCCTTGGCTTTCAAAATTTGTTGTTTGAGTTTTTCAACCTCACCCTCCAATTCCAGTCCTGAAGCCTTTCCTGGATTTTGGTCAATGAGTTCTTTATTTTTCATGTTGATTTTCTTTTTGGGATCTACAGGGATTCCTTCTTGGAATCCACCAAGTTTGCGGAACTTTAGCATCCTATGTTTTAGCAGCTCTTGAGTGTCCATTTTTGTAAGCTCCTATACAAAATTGAAGATATATGTTAGGATTTAATGGCAGAGTATGATTCTTCTAGAAGAACAAATGTGAATGTACTCACATCCATTGTGTCAACAATTGCAGTTTTTATCTGTTGTGATGTCCAATGTGGATCAGCATGTGCACCACCAAGTGGCTCCTGAAAGAAGTCCAAAATCCCATCGTCATACAGTAGAAGTGAATAGATAGTTTTAGCTTGAAAAGCAAATTGAAGCAGTCCTGGTCAAATCAGATGGATTTTCCAGTCAACTGCTGCACAAATATCATGCATAAAACATACGTCTCCCTGATTTGGTAAGGTATCCAATGACAGAGAAGATTCATAAGATAAGCATATTACGTGGCCCAGAAATTTCAATAGGTTTAGCCTCGTGCATTTGAAATAAAATTTGTTAGAAATATATATAGAAAATATATCACAGACTAGCAGCAGGGGTCCAACCATCAGTGTTTACACTCTTTCTGAGAAAGGTGCATTACAGTTAAAAGAATACCAAGAACCCCAAGGGTGAGGAAGGAAGAAACCCATAGAATATATTATTGCGGAGTAGAATATTACAGTGATGAAACCATCTGCTATTTGCAGTCTGCACAACTCCCCAGCAGTTATTCTAAGCTTCTCAGCTGCCTGCAAAGAAGAAGAATTGAAATTAATCATAGCTATTTCATCTTATCTGATATACTAGACAGCTAATGAATTCTTATTACAACCTTGGGAGAGGCTTTGGCAGTTTTCCACAAAATTGCTGCACACGCTTCTGGGCTGCACCATGGGAATTTAGACGAAACAAGAAAAAATTAGATCGTCATAGTTGAACTGACCGAAAAGAAAAATGCTTTACAGAAAATACTCATAGAGGAATACTACTACACAACTACATTTTGCCAAAAAGAAGCATACAGAATAAGTTTTACAAGTTAGTTGAACATGACGTATAACATATAGGTGAGCTAAGTAAAAAAAAAATTTATGACACAAATTTACCAACTCAAGGGAAAAAAACAAAAGAAAGGGAGAACATTCAGAAAGTGTCAAATAGGCACTGAACACAAAGATGGCTCCACATCTTAGTTGACCAAACCCACCAACTTTCAGTCTTCAACTTTGCTAATAAATACCTAATGCTCAAAATATAGATTGAGTCCATTTTGGAAATGACAATGTGTGCAGTACCAAGGAGCAGACTAAATTCTACAGCCGTGCAAGGATGAATGCAGGTGGAAGTTGCAGGCTATAAATAACTCTTGACAAGCAGTATATCATTTTTTATTTTCAATTTTTTTATTAGCTGTTTTGAATCTCCCCTATCTAATTAAAATATTAGTAGTTAGATTGCTTGATACACTAAGCAGAAAAATGTTAAGAATTCCAATCTTAAATCCACATGTTTTGCCAGAGGAAAAGTTCTAGGCTGAATTATGCATTATGCGGAGTGATCTTCCTTACCCTCAAAAGTCAAAATATTTGGCCCGCTTTGATTTTTTCCGCCACATCATACCCATTCAATACCTTTTTTTCCAAACAAACATCATCCAAGAACCACTTCAGTAGTAATCACTTTTGAAACATTTTTTCTGGATTATGTAAAAGTGTCTACAACTCATGGGTCGCAAATCTACAACTCCAACATGTTGAGAGAAGTGAACATTTCCTTGCTAGAACATGTAACAAGGAGTATGCAGACTGGGATACTAAAGATACATCACTGCACAATTTCATATGGCTATTATAACTAATTTCCTCCCCTTATTCTAACTAAATTTTATTGGAAATATTATGCACACAACTGAAAGATAACCAGACCAAATCTAGCAGGAGAGAGGAAACAATGCCACAATGAAAAATTGAAATGCATGCCTCTTGGACTATCGTTGAGTTGCTCACATGTTTAAATAAGTGATAGCAGCACATGTAAAACATGTATTGATACTTGCTTGCAAATAGTAATCCAAATTAAGACATGGCATTGTATATTACTGACTTAATGATTGATGATAACGGAATTTTTCCAAACATCGGTCAAAAACCGCTTTCTCCTTCTAATTTGCTATCCATGAAATCAACGCTCTATAAAACTAGGGAATCGATGCACCAGGTGTTGGAGATCTATCTAGCACATAAAAGATGATAACGTGACAGTCACTCTTATGACGGTATGGTTGCAGCATCTATAATATCACACTTAAAGCAAAGCCAATCTCAAATTACCTGGCAACATAAAAAACTGCATTTTCGAGCATTAACAATTTATTAGCACAGCCTATGGCCAGAGCACCACCAGATCCACCTTCCCCAATAACAATGGAAACAATAGGTACCTTCAACCCAAACATAGTTCTCAAGTTGTGAGCTATGGCCTCACCCTGCACACAGGTGAAAGAAAATACAGTTGAGCCAGTATTGAAACAGAATCATTCAAGCTTCAGGAAACATTTGCCACATACTTGGCCTAGTTCCTCTGATTTAAGGTCTGCAAATGCCCCTGGAGTATCAATGAAAGTAACAATAGGGAATCCATGGTGATCTGCGTAATACATCATGCGTAGCGCCTTCCGGTAGCTGTTCAAAATAGAGTACAATTATTTATAAATTAGATGTAGACATTTTCTTATCCAGAAGATAGATGACCGATCTTATGTATTGAACTAAATTTCTACAAACACCAAGTATTATAAATTGGAATTTTACATTTTTATTCTGCACTAACAGGTTCCTATAGAGGATTTATTCTCACTGTATTCAGCTCCATATCACAAAAAAAGAAGTAACTAAGAAATTCACCTTCCTAAATTACGTACCCATGGGGAGTGGGCATCCCAAAGTTGCGGAGAATGTTCTCCTTCGTATTTCTACCCTTTTGATGACCCATAAACATGTAACTTCTACCATTTATGCTTCCAAGACCAGTGACAATGGCGGGATCATCATACCCTGATCGATCACCATGAAGCTCCACAAACTGGACCGTGGACATTAGAGGACATTTTATGAGATGTTTTCTCGGTATCCTTGAGGCTTGATTAAAACAAAGTCAATTAACTGAAAACATATGAAGTCGCGGAACTTATAACCTTGTCGGTAATATTAAACACATGGTCAAGAAAAGTTGGCCTGTTTGGATGCCGTGCAATATGCACACGCTGTATAGGAGTCAGATGCGTATACAGATCCTTTAGAGCCTGAAATTTATAAAATGTCAGTGGAGTTGACAAGTAGATATCACTTTGATGATAGGATTGAGAACACAAATATGCCCTGAGGCATAAGACTTGGTTATTTTCTTTTTTCAATTCCGAAGTGCAGATCCATTAGGCTCATCTATCTATACACAATTAGTACAAGGGAACATACATCTTATTCATTATTTTACAGTGCCTTTATCGTAACACATTCAAACATGCATTCAAACATTAAACACATTACTTAGTTCTGCTCTATCAAGTCATAAATTCATTCAAATGAATTAAAAAAACAATGGGAAAGTGTAAGTTAAGGTAGATGGTTGGATCAACAAAAGTAGGAAAAACACTTAACCAGGCCTCAATGTAAACCTTCATACCCTTCCATATCCCCAAGAGAAAAACCTTTTTTTTTTCCATAGAATTTCATGGGAAGTTGAAAATTTAATTGAAGAATGGTCTATTAAAGTTAACACCTTCAAACAATCCCACGGTATCTACAAGAACTCAAAATGGTGTAGTGTTCAAGTAAGCTAAGGCTGTCCGGGATTTGCAAGGATAAATATGTATAGAGACTAGAAGTCTACAACATAAGCATAGAAAGGTTAGTAAAATAATCACACATAGTAAGGAAATGAATGTCTCAAAAAGTTACGTTTCTGTAGCAGTTTGTCAACAGGCAGGGAAGAATGACAGTAGGATTAACCATTGGTAAGGCCAATATGGTTTCCTGATATAAGGAAGACTTGAAAGGAACGTGTAAACAATGTTGCAGATAATTTATACTTGACTCTGAATAAGATGCTGGCAGTAAATTGATGTTACATAACTTGAACACTTAATATATATTCTCAATTCACCAATTTTCTATATACTACACCACATCAAAGTTACACTTGACTAATGTTCCAAATCCAAGAGATGCAATGTAAAGTAGAGGCATGCATGACTTTCAAACCTGTTGATACTTGTTCTCTAAAGAGATTATTTGGTCACTGAAGTCAAGGCCAGTTTCATTTGCCATCTTTTGTACCTGCACTCAATAAATTTTTTTTTTTAAAAAAGAGGGTATTATTATGTTGAAAGCAAACTGTTCCGTGATCTCAATTTGAGTAAAAGCACTCTCTCTTTTCCTGTCAAATAACTCCCGCAATGCTCTTAGGGAGACTTAAAGACATTAAAATATGATTGAGTAGCTTACATCAATAATCTTCTTTTGCAGATTCATAAGAGGTTTCTCGAAGTCCAAAGTGACCAGCTTCGGCCTCTCTTTTAAAGGCTTGAAAGGTGAGAGATGACTAAGGGCTCCGCCCTTCACATTTGGATCGGCACCCTCCGGCCACGGATACTCGTGCTTCTTCACCTTCCTAACCTTTGCATTGACCATAAAAACCCCCCTTCTTGAGCCCAGTCGCGCCCTTCCTAGGACTTTCAAGGGCACACCACTGACACCATTACTAGAGCTATGGAGAAGATCTGAAGCAGCCAAATTCTCATTCAATGCCACTGACGAATGAGACAGAGAAGCCATTCCCCAATTCTCCACCAAATTAACCAAACGGAAATTAAATTTAGCAGCTTCAATAATTTATAAATCTGTCAAAAAAAAGTTTTCTCAGAATAATTGAACAATATGCTCCATTTGATGATTTTCTCACTAAAAAGGAAAGGAAAATGAACGAAATTGAAGTTATTAATCACAGATTCTTCATATTTCAAAGCCGGAAAAGGAAAAAATACAGTTAGCTGAGCATAACACCACCATTTTTCACTTAGCTGAGGGAAGATTTGCAACAATTAATAAACAATACAACTTAAACATAAGATTCAAACTCTCAAATTTTTCCTCGTTCACTTAAATTGTATAGTAACAACACATATAACAAATTACAATAATCTCAAAACACAAAAGCACATTGAACAAGCAACGAATTAACGCTTCAAATGATGATAACGAAAACTTAAATTAAATATCAAAATGCAAACAAATTGAATATGAAACAGAATCTCGGAGAATCATATAATAAGAGCTTGAGATTCACCGGAGAGATTACCAGAGAGTGGGGGTGAGATTTCCGGCGAGAGAAGATCTGAGTGGGCGACGAATGACTTTTGAGTCGTCCTTCGGAATGGGAGGAGAGAGAGAGAGAGAGAGTGTGATTATTAAGCAATGAGAGAGATCGCGAGCATCGTGAAGATCGTCATGGAGGTCTCGTTTGGATTTTCCCAACTAGTTTTAGACAGAGAAAGCAGAGAGAGAGAGAGAGAGAAAATGTCGATACTTCTTATGTGGGTTTTGGGGGAAGGGACCTGTGAGTTGTTTAACTTGAAAAGAGGCAGCTTTATTCGGTTTGGTTTGGCAGTTAAAGAAGTCGCTGGACACTGCTAAGATACGCGTGTTGGGACCGTGTTTGGCTATCGGTGCTTCATGGTTTTTTCAAAATAAAATTTGCATTTGAAAATTGCAAGAAGAGTGCAATTTTTTTTGTTAAAAAATACAACGAGTAGTAAATAATAAAACAAAATCATGCGTATCATAAGTTCATAACAATTCAATTGATGAGAAGCACATTTTATCGAGGAGAGGGAGAGTTGTGTAGTAGGCCACGCATTTGCGTCCTAAGCTGCAGTGAATAAAATTGTCAGGCGTTTGTTGGTTGTATTATTGGTTTGCTATTGTTTTACGGGTAATAGTCAAAGGATGGGACATAACCGCCCCCCTCTCTCTATAAACACACACATGCAAGTACGTGTTTTAGGTGAATGGCATAAATTGATGCAAAGAGGCCAGGAGCTGTGATGCTTGAATAATTTTTTATTTTTCTTTTGAAAAAAGTTCATTGATTTAGTTGCAAATGGCTAGGTCAAAATTGTGAAGTGATAGAGGAGACTTATTTGGAAATATATATTGAAAACACATAGTGTGGTATAAGATACTTATATAGGTTTATATGTACATCTTTGTTTGTTTATTTATTTTAATTGTATATTTATATGCATGCATATTATAGAACAATACTTATCTCCTGGCCAAAAAAAGAAATCTCCTCTTGTTTAATAACATAATGACAAGAGTCTATTTTGAATTTAAAATATGCAAAAAAAAAAATATATATCTTAAATTTATTCCTCTTATATTTAAAGTTTTGACACATCTCATTCCATTATTGTGCCACGTAAGAATGCGGATGAGATTCGTACCAAAAAAAAAAAAACTTTTAATATTTATTTTATCTTATGAAGCAATAATTGAATTAATGAACAAAAGTGGAGCAATATAAATTTTCCCCCTCCGGTAGAAAAATCACCAATTAATGTGGGATTATAATACTTTAATACAGTATTTTTTGTCTTTCAAAAATAGAAAATTGATTTTTTAGAATAATATTATGATCTAGGTAAAACAGTAAAAACATTATTATAAGAATTATAACTAAAAATTATTTTAATGAAACTATTGTGACAATTGACAAACTTAAAAACTTGAGAATTATTATGATTTACTCGACTTGAGTTGTTCAAAAAAGTTAACACGAGTTGGATTCCTCTATTGTACACGTGGTGCACACATTAAAAGTTATAATTTTTATTGAGTATCACTCATCAAAAGTGTATAAGTTATATAAACTTAAGTGTTAATTTCACTAACACTCCCCTTAAATTTTGTCAAATATTACATTGAATTACCTTTCGAAAATTGCTATCACTTAAGTCAAATTTTACTTTTACATCATTGACACCGTTAAAATCATGCGAAAAGATAAATTTGCACCTGATTTTTTAATCCATTTTATTCCACAATATCAACTAACTAAAATGGCTATTTTACTCCCTCATTACTCTCACCTAAAGAAAAGGGAAAAAGAATGAAAGAAATATTCAAGGTGGCACGAAAAGAATAAGAAGCAATGAGACCAACTCATAACTACAAGAACAACAAACAAGTAAGGAACAATAATACTTACCAATAATATATATTTTTTAAAAGTACAATTAGACAAAAGTAAAATAAAATATATTATTATACTGAATATCTTTGTGATAAATACGTCTCCTATAACTGAATCTACATGGCCAATTATTTAGTTTGTGAAGCATGAGAAAAATTCTTCTTTCATCTTTTCCCATACTCATTTCAAGTCACACACATTTCTTCCCTTTCTATGTCAATCTTTTAATGAAATATGAAATTTATGTTACTACTTGTTAGAAATGTCATTAATTTTGCATTGTTCATGGTTAGTTACACAGTATCCAAAAAGGTAATCTCTAAGATAAAATTTCCTCTGAAGGCCCAGACTAACAAGCTGCACTATTTTAATGAGATTGGTGATGCACCGTGTAATACCTCTAATTTTAAAAGGATAAACTCGGTATTTATTTATTTGTTTTAATTGTATTTTTAATTATTAATAATAATTTTGATTATTTGACGAATTGCTTATGTGTTTAATTGAATTAGATATTACTTGATTGTTTGATTATGTGTCTATGTATTATTTGTATTTGTTTATGTGTTAATTGTTTAATTAGATTATATACTTAAATGGTGTTTTGATTAATTATAAATTAAATGTTTTATTTGATTTTATTATTTGATTTTATTTTTATTTTATGATTATGGTTAATAGTAATGGGTTAACCAATTGGGTCCCATGGACTACTTGGATAGGAGGTTGGATGTGTATGAATTATTACCCATGGATAGTTGTGCATAGATATATATTATATACATATATAAAAGGGAAAGTAATTTATTAATTACTTTTATGGTAACTTCGGTACTAATATTTAATCTGATGTCTATGTTTTATATTTAAATAATAAAAATATACATAGATTTGATACGTGTTATGTTATAAGTTACTTTATAATATTATGGTAACTTAAGTATTACTGGATAATCCATTAATAAATAATGGAATGTGTATAATTTATTTATTTAATAAAGATTTACATAAATTATATACTTAACATATTTTACTTACCTTTTTAATATATATAAAAGGGAAAGTAATTTATTAATTACTTTTATGGTAACTTGGGTAGTAATATTTAATCTGATGCATATGTTTTATATTTAAATAATAAAAATATACATAGATTTGACACGTGTTATGTTTTAAGTTACTATGGTAACTTAAGTATTATTGGATAATCCATTAATAAATAATGGGATGTGTATAATTTATTTATTTAATAAATATATACATAAATTATATACGTAACATATTTTACTTACCTTTTTAATATTTATTTTTTTAAGTTGACTTGGATTGGGAAAATGGTTAGGGTTATTTTATTTAGCCTATAAATATATAGCTATAGGTTGCAAAAGGGGGTTAAAAATATTCACGTGATATATTCTAGAGAGAGAAAGTTAGAGAGGGAAGGAGGAAAAGGAAGGAAGGAGGAAAAAAATCCTGTAGAGAGAAGATCAAGGAAGAAGAAGTTTAACTTTCGATCCGAAAGTTTAAGGCAAGTTCTTCTTCTATCTCTTTCCCTTTGATTCGTGTTTCTGTACATGCCTAGGAAATTCCAGAATTTATTAAACACATAAAATTAAATAATTATGCATGATTTTGATTTGATTTTCGGTGTGAATTTTTATATGTTTAAATTATGTATTTTTCATATCTGTGAAATGATGGAACGTAGAAACATGCCTAGGATTCCTGAACATTAAATAGGAACTAGGTTTGAGGTTTAAATAAATTTAAACAGACTCAATCATAATGATGCTTTCTATTTGATGTTTTAAACAAACGAATGGATTTAATCTTTTAAAAATGTTTTAGCAATTGAAATTAAAGGTGTAGGATGAATTGGATATGGAGAATGCTTATTTGACGGTATAATAAAATATCATCATGTATAAGATTCAGTTTATGTAGGACATATGATACAGGAAGCTTAAATAAATAATAAGTCATTCATATTATGTGATAACTTGATATCATCTTGCCATAGTTATTTATGTTTGATGTATTTCCTTAATTGTTACATCAATTGTTGGATTGTGTGGTTTAATGCACCGGTATGGGACGGTGGCATTTTAGGGACGGATTAACTTATCAGTTAAGTCTTACCTATTTTATACAAGGGAATGGATTAACTAAAATATTAAGTCCTGCTTATATTCAAGTTAGGTCAACTGAACAAGTTGAATGACTTATGGAGGACTAATTTATTATATAAGGAAATGGATTAACTAAAATGTTAAGTCTTACTTATATTCAAGTCAGGTCAGCTGAATAAGTTGAAGGACTTATGGAGGATTAATTTATACTAGATATGATGGTTACTAAATTATATATATATAAGTATGGTACCATGACATGAGTTTGAGTCTCAGGATCAGTGGTTAGGGCGCGTATATCGCCAGGGATGTGTAGCTAGATATAGTGTAGTTGTGTACCCTGGTAGGTCTAGGTATTCATGCCCACTATATGTGCGTTTTGCATGTTGCCTACTATTCAGGTCGAGACAACCCTATAGTCTAGTGAGGTTCCTTTAGTGTGTGTATATATATATATACGGACTACTAGTTTCTGTTGGATTGACTAGGATGTATACGTGTATCGGATCGCTGCTTGGACTGTAATAGAGTAGAACTTGTTTGTGGGCCTGACCCACCATTATTTTTCAGGTGTTCGTCAAGAGTAGAGGTTGTTCGTGCCGAGCAGGGATCAATCTACTTAATTCTTCCGATGCTACATAAGAGTTCATTTATGATTCAGTTTCCTGATTTAGACAGTTATTGCTGTCATTTGTTTAGTTTGAATTTTCTAGGGGTCCACACAGTATGGATTCCCGAGTTATATTTTAGAAGATCAGTTGTATCAGAAGAGTTTATTAATTAATGGAAATATATTCCGAGGTTTATTATTAAATTATCATTTTAGTTGCTTGTCAGCATTTATTTATTCTTCTTTATTCTTTTGTACTCTGTGTTCGTTTATTGCCGATTTATTTTTGATATCTTCAGGTATTTGGGCGTGGGCCTGGCCAACTCGCATTCAGAAATCTGGGGGTATCACACACCGGGACATTGAGATTAAGTTTCAATTACAATGTAGCATCTATATATGAGATAAATAAAGTTTGAAAAGAAAAAGAATAATAAAAAAATTAACTGGGGCTTTTACTAGCTAGTACTAGGGAGTTTGACCAATCAATGCTATATTAAATACTCGATGGCCTGTTGTACATATGTATTTTAGGTTAAGTGTGATAGTTAGTTGTTCGTGTGTTATGTTCAGTGATATTTTAAAATGTATCAACAAAGGTGAGAGACATCCCCAGTACATATGCTTTTATTAGCTAGTACAAGGGAGTTTGACCAATCAATGCCATATTAAATACTGGATGGCTTGTTGTATATATGTATTTTAGGTTAAGTGTAATAGTTAGTTGTTTGGGTGTGATGTTCAGTGATATTTTAAAATGTATCGACAAAGGTAAGAAACATCCTAGTTCGTGTCACCAATTTCTCCCTCCCATGAGATGTCAGGTATAGTATTAAATTAGTAGATCATAATTAACTTAATTTGTGGTAGCGTCCAAATTTTTTGATCAGAGTACTCAAAGTTTTAAATTATTAAATAAGATGACTGATGAACCCGTATTGGAGGAATTATATTGTAGACTTTCCCTTGGTTTGGTGGCTGGCAAGGCCACAAATTTGAATGTCTAAAACTTATATATTTAAAAAAATATATATATATATTTTGGATGGTCTGATGAATCAATTTGATAAAAAGTATGGGTATTTTGGTTTTTAAAACAATTCTTTAGGATTAAAAGGGATTTTGACAAAGTTAAATGGGGTAACAATGTCTTTTTACAGGTAAAATGTGGTATAACGCAGGTCAAAAGTAATTTTTGCGGTATAAGTAAAAAACGGACCAATGTTTGTAATATGAGAGATAGTAATTTTTAAAAAGTATTTTAATGTGATATTTGATTAAATTTGTGTAAGTAAAATTAACCCCAAACTTAAATAAACAAAAATTATTATATATTTTTATTAGTTATGGTGGTATCAGACTTTTCGTTATCAACCTCTCGTCATTGAGGTGATAATTTTTATCATTAGTCATAAAATAAAGCACATTTAGATAATTAAAATTAGGACAATATTTACATCCTCATTAGCAAAAATTTATAACATAGTCACATCTGTGAGTATTTTATAAATATTTTAATGTCAGGATTCATATTGAAACTTGATTACAAGTCTCATCACCCCAATATAATACGAAATTTCAGACTGGATCAGATGAGAGGTGGATCATTTTAAAAGAGCCACGTCTGGATTTAACTATAGCCCAAATATTCTGTGATCTAACCTTACCACCTTCTGGGTCAGACCCGTATAATTTCAGACTTGCCCTATAATTCAGATTGGATCAGATTAGCGGTGGATCCTTTTAAAAGAGCCACATCTGGATTTAATTATAGCCCAAATCATCTGCGCTCTAACCTTATCACCCGGCGGGTCAAACCCGTATAACCCTAACCCTAACCCTAACCCTAACCCTAACCCTAACCCTAAGTTTTTTTTTTTTTTTTTTCGGGAAGGTAAACCCTAACCCTAAGTTCCCTAACAATATTAAGGGGCACACCAGAAAAATGGAAAGCATGGATTAATTTCAGACGACGACGTTTTGCGGGTCGGGAAATGTAGACATTATCTTGTAAACGGCTCCCTTCGGACTTGCATAAGCCACGGTGCCTTTCCTCTCTAATTTTGGTGGATTTCATGGCGGGCAAACCCTCAAACGGTAGCTTTAAACCGCTATCCAGTATTCGTTGTTGTTCTTATGACCAAATATGATTACATTTGTGCATGTATATATATATGTTACTATGTATATGAATTTACAGTGAAAGTTTCTATGCATTTTTCTCTATTTCTTGTTGTTAATCATCATAATTTATTCGACAGAGACTATTCTCGAGCAGCTAAAACATGGACTTGCTGAATTCGAGCTTGTCTCCTCTCCGGTTCCTTCAGTTTCCAGCCATAAGCTTCGGACACATCCTACTAAGTTCTTCACTGATAATACTCATCGAGTTTTTGCAAGAATCGGACCGCCCCTGTAAGTGCTTTTCATCTACAATGTTTTTGTTTATTATTTCTAGAAACCTAAATCCTAATTCAAGACCCCTCTTTGGAATGTCTTTTTGTTACAGTTCTCAATAGCCGAAAGAGCCTAATTTGACCCATCTAATAAGTTCTGCGACTTCTTATCATATTATTTAGAGGATAGTTAGATATTTTGTTGTAATTGGACAAACAAAAATAAACCTCCTTTTGTTAAGTTGAATATTTGCTAATTATCCACTAATATTTGCCTAATATATTGAATAAATAATATTCTACAACTACATTTTGATATTACTTCGAATATTGTTTTGCATGAAAACATGTCATTTTGAGTTGCTCTATAATGTCCACAAATTCATACAATAATTGATTTTGGTAGGTAAGGTATGCACTAACACAAATCACACACAACACCCACTGTTGGGACTTGACACAAATCACACACAACACCCGCTGTTGGGACTTCGATCCTCAACCTACCTTGCGGTGGGGAGGAGGAGATACACTTTAGCTAAAGGCCTGGTGGTATTCTCCATATTATTTGGTGATTCTCCATATTCTTTGGTGATGCTCGGATTGCAATTTATTTTCATTGTACATAAGTCATGAATCCAGAACTTGTCAGTATAGTTTAGAACTTTAGATTCATGATAATTTTGTTTTGACCCTGTAATTTTGTTTGTTAGTGGTGGAGCTTCACCCGCAATGAAGAAAGTGGAGCGTTATTCGGTTCAGAAAGTTACTGGCGATGGACGTTGTCTATTTCGTGCACTGGTATTATTGGGTTTCTTTTCCTTTTAGCCTGCTCTGTTTGCATATTGTTCTGGCTTTGTTTCTTAGTAGTGTTGGGGCCAAAAATAACTTCTGATACTAATGAATGTGAAATATTATCAGTATAGTGGAATGCCATTGGTACTGTGGAAACATAGTCTGATTATATGTAGCATTGCTTATAAATTTCTGCAAAGTTTTAGAAGTAACACAATTTACAGTGTATGTGGGGTTTGTTGTGAGTGATAAAAAGTAGGCCATAATTCTCCCCCCTCCAAAAAAAAAAAAAAAAAAAAAAAAAAAGAGTTAAATGTTGCCTACGAATTTATCCCAATATCTTTGTTAGGATATTGAGTCATGTATTGGCAATTTCTTGCTCAAAACCATGGTGTAAGTTGAACAGGAATATCTTGAGTTATTTCTACAACTGAAAAGGAGATGATGAAGATGAAGGATATGAACATGTCGAAAATCTCCGAAGCTCAATTTTAGATCTAGATTAAGGTAAGATGAGACTTTAGGAACCAACTTCTATGACTTAGGTTTGATCTTTGACAGCCTTAATATTATGTTTTAGACATGTTCAAAAATTTTGAATAAAGAATTTCAACTTTAAAAATGTTTTTCAAAAATTTTGAATAGGAGTTTCAATTGATCAAATATTTAAAGAGGTCTGACTGTCTGAGTGCCAAAATCCAGCGAGCCTCCATCAAAGGATCAATTGATCGGAAGTTGGACAACACGCCTCGTTCAATACATCGATTGATTGATATGTGTAGAACTTTTATGGAAATTCTGTCAAAACTGAATTTTAAAAAGTTTCATTTTCTTATAGGACTCCCATATTGGCTATAAATATGGGGTTATAGTTAGGCTAGGGTAAACTTTTGACTCTCTACACATCATTCAGAGAATTTATATCTTTTAGAAAGCGAAAGCGAAAGCTTTGAGATTAAATCTAGGGTTTTCATAGGCAACCATACTAAATGTGATTGAGAGAAATAAAGCAAGGAGTACGTAAGAGACTATCAAACAACAAATCAATTGGGGTATTTTTGAAGATTAAGGATTTGAACAACCATGAAGAGACAATTGCATGAATTTGTTGGCTTGTAGTAAAAGAAATTGGAGTGGCTTGTCTTTCATGAGCTTGAGTAAGAGATAATTGGGGGATTCTTGGGATTTGAGTCTGGTAACCTAGTTGTATAAATTGTTCTCATAGTGGATTGTTGCGTGGATCGAGGGTCCGGTGGCTTTTCCATGTAAAACATCGTGTCCTTGCATTATTTTATTTACTGTTTTATGTTTTTGAATGTTTCTGAGACATGTGGCTAATGAAGCAAACTGAAAATTGGACAAAGTTTAGAAGTTAGTTATCTACGTAAAGTATCCATAAGACCTATTCTCCCTTTTCTAGGTCTAATTTAAATCACGTATGCTCTGACATATTTGAGCCTTGTATAACCATTCATATTCTTCAGGTTCAAAATATTTAGTAATGATGATTATTTCTGGTTACCGTCATCAAGTGTGGTAGAAGTTCCACTTATCAAAAAAAAAAAAAAAAATGGTAGAAGTTCCCTCTCCTAGCACTTAAATGTGCACCTTATTTACAATCTGCAAATTAGATAGTGACTCGACAATATCCCCTCACCTCTGTCAGAACTTAAATTCTGATTTGTGATATCAGGTCAAAGGAATGGCTTTCAACAAGGGTATCGCACTTGGCCCACGGGAAGAGAGAGATGATGCAGGTATATTAATAGTTACGTGCATATTTCAAATTTTTTGTTTTGGTTTCAGTGACTCTTCATATTATCATTATAGGGTTTCCAATTTGCACCATCTGAATGAGTCTTTGGCATAAACACTTTTGGTCACAATAATTTGGAATCAGATTAATATGAGTTATGTGAGGAATCATTGCATATGGAGCCACTCATTTCATGAGTTTCAAAATATTTTAAATTTTTTATAACGGAATTAATGTGAATCTGTGATTGGTCATCCATTGACATTTGTTGTTAGGTGATCACGATGAAGTTGGCCTCATTCACATTTTTCTAAAGGATGCCAGTTACACTGCTACAATAATGCAATTATTGTCCCTTTACATCCAGAATGATTAGTTTGTTGTGATTGGATTGGGGAAATTGATAATTTGGTCATTCAGGGATTTTTTTCTTTGATATTTTGGTAGCTCATCTGACCAATAAGGTGGCATCTATGAGATGTTCAAATTTTATCTATTTATTTATTTATTTTGGTAGCTTTGGACATCTTTCATCTGTTGTGAGTTATAATTTCAATAATTGCATCTTTAGCGTATGTATCTACAGTGTATCAGCCCCCAATTATACAGGCAGAGCTTATTGGTGCACAGTGCACACTACTTGTGCATGCGAGTTTGGAGTGCAAATTTTGGTTGTCTAAGGGTGCATGTGATTTTGGAGTGTAATTATATGTAGTCCAACACTTATTGGGGCAGATATTCTGAATGCAAATATGGTTTTACCTGGGACTTGATATTCCATAAATCAGACAACTCTAAGTTATTCAGCAAGGTTTTTACTGTTCTTTTGGAATATGTGGCAATTAAGTGCTGGAGTTAGTGTGGAGATCCACTCTTTTAGTACTTGCAGCAATAGAACTCTGTTGGGCTTGTCAGCTTTATCTGTAGGTTTGCCCAACTTGATTGTCTATTCTAAGAAGCCCTCAAGTTAGCAGCTAATTATGGTCTAAATGGATGTCTCTTATACATAGAGAAAATAATTGAGTTACTACATGGTAATATGGTATATGAAGCAATATATTTCACATAGAATTAATCCTTATGTTTGATTTTTTATATTTTATTTGATCAGGATAATTTCTAACCTGAGCCACCTAAGACTCTTTCTTTCACTCTTATATTTTTTTCCCTAAGTTCTCGGGGATATAATTGCCACAATATTTGTCAAGAACTTACGTGGCACATAGAATGCAGATGAACTGCGGATGGCTGTTAAAGAGGTTATATGTGATAGCAATAAAGAACGTCAGCAGTATGAAGAGGCATTGGTTGCAATTACGGTTGAGGAGTCTTTGAAACGGTGAGACTTTAACTTGTCTCTAGTTATGTAAATTCTCTAATTGGACTTTAATGCTCTTTTTCATGCTAACTTTTTTTGAGGATTGTAATTTATTTGCCACACTCTTAAATGCCTTTGTGTAGTTACTGCCAACGCATTGGACGACCTGATTTCTGGGGTGGAGAGTCTGAGCTACTGGTTAGTAGAATATTAGTAATACAGCCCCTGCCAGATTCCATTCTTTTATCTTTATTTTCTTATATATTTTATCTTGAATGTCATGTATCTTGTCAGTGAATGCATTTGCTATCGCAAGTGGGTAACTTTATTGGTCTTGCAGTCTTCCTCACCCACAAGAAGTTTGGGTCTAGAAAGGCCCCAACCACCTGAATACATAACAAGTGAGCTGCAGTGGGTTATCATTCACTACTTACTGAGATTTCATCTATATAGAGTTGGCTATTTGTTTGTACATGTCTCAGGAAGAGAGCGGTGGGGGTTGGAGAAGAAAAAATTAGTAGCCTCGAAGATATAAATTTGATCAATGAGACGCTCTTTCCCCCATTCTGACCAATTTTCTTTTCTTATTTTACAGTTTTTCTGTTATCTTCCTCCTTACTTTTCCTACTCTCTATTCTTTACCGGCTCAAATAAGTAGGTCCAACCTTCTCTTTTCCATTTTTTCTCTTCTATTTATTTGTGAGATTCAAACTAGACATGAGATAGGAGATGCGGCGCTTTTGTTGCCCTTTTTTCCTGAGAAAAAAAGGAGAGTTTGAGGGTGAAAGGGAGGTTGCTACATTGGGCTTGTTATTTGGGGACGTAATTGTGCACCCTGGTTGCTCCTCTAATTTTTAGACAACCCAGAAAGGACATTATGTTATTGATACAGCATCAAATGGAAACTGACAACAAAAACCAGTTTGACCAGGGCAAGGAAGCAACTTGGCTCTGTGATTCAGCAAGTCCTCTGCTTCTTTTTTGGCTTTCTCCCTTATTTTCACATTCATGTGAACAATGTGGCAATTCTCTTATTCGATTTATGCATCCCCTACCGTATCTTCCTCTTATTTGAAGCATTAGCCTTGAATACTTAACTTGAAGCTTGTTATTAATCAAGATATTGTTTGTATTTCATAGTTCATGAGTGGTTCTATGAGGTCTACAGATCAGGGAGGGCGGAATTTAGAATCAAACAAATAATTAGAGTGAAAAACAGTGTGATAACTAATAAGACTCGATACATTAGGATGCTGGGTTATCATAATAGAACCCAAGGTTTACGGTGAACCTTAGAAGTGAATCAACAAACTGATGAGAGTCATGTGATTTAATAAAATCTCAATGATACTCAGTTAATCTAAAAATAGGATCTTGTGTATTGATATCGCTCACACTAGTCATTGCTTTTTTTTAATGCTTAAACCAACCAAAAACTAGCCTGTGCTTAATTATTGATCCTCACTCTATTGTATATCAGAAGAAGTTGACATAAATTCTTATTGCAATACAACATGTTCGAATTTTCAATGCTTATAAATTTCAAGAACGTTTATTCAGTATAGAATGCTAGTAGGGCCAGGCACAGAAGTAGTTGACATAAATTCTTATTGAAATACAACATGTTCAAATCTTCTTTGCTTCTAAATTTCAAGAACGTTTATTCAGTATAGAATGCTAGTAGGGCCGATGCCTGGTTCAATGCTAAACGCTCGAATATCAGTGCCACTGGAGCACTGGCTCTAGTTAGAAGAGCAGTCACTTTGTTAAATATACAAGTTTAGGTCTGTCTCGAGTCCTCCTTCCCTAAGACTCTGCACTGGTAGGCCAGAACTGGGTAATGTCCCTTTAGAATGCAAGTAATCATATTTGAGGAAAATATAGCCAACAGAATCTTGGTTGAATGCTCCGCCTTTTTTATTCATCAGTGATTTTGAATTGCCTCGTTAGATCTTCTCAATGTTTTTTCAAAATTCATGATGATATTGAGATTTTGAGAAAGATTGGTTTGTGGAATTTAGTAGGCTGTAGAGATGAGATATCCAGGTTGTGGAGCTGCTATTCTAGGCAATCTTTTTATTTTATTTTTTATGTTTTTTAGTTTATAAAAAATTACCAAGAGCACCTATTTGTTAATATTATAATTGATGTTTTAATTGATGATTATTGTACTAGCTCAAAAGTTTCCTTCTTTTTTTTTTTTTTTTTTTTTTTTTTTCTGAAAAGAATTTGTGTTGAAACAATGTGCTGAAGAATGTGGCATGTAGTCATCATGGTAAAGCTTTAGCCTCTTCTTGGTAGTGCATTTATTTTTCAATTATAATCTGAATCATAGAGATCATTGATTGATATAAATCTCTTACTTGTCTCATGCCTTTTCCATTGGAATGGTAAGTATTATATAATGCAGCTCTTGTATCTTTATTTTCAAAAGAAATGTTCTCAGCTCTCATATACATTTTATTATTATTATTTTTTTAAAAAAGACGACGAACATGACTATGCCTATATACTGAAGTCACCATAGATGTTCAGTTTGCCTACTTTTACATGCTAACGAATGGCCAAATTCTCCACTAGGTGCTATCAAAGTTGTGTTGCCAGCCGATTACTGTGTATATACCGGAAAGTGAGGTATTTTTTCTTGTGAATGAAGTATTTGAGATTGATCTTTTCTTAAATTGGCACCTATTAAAGTTGCGTATGCTGGTCAAATTGCAGCATACTAGAGGTGGATGGAGCTCTGGCTTTATTCCCATAGCGGAATATGGAGCCGGTTTTGGTAAGGGATCGAGAAAAGGAAAACAACCTAGGAAAGTTGTGAAACTCTTGTACAGTGGTAAAAATCATTACGACCTACTTGTCTGAGAATTCATCATGCTCAATAGAACTGTCCTTGGACAGTGTTGTATAATCAAGAAAATTTTGTGGAGATTATATTTTTTCTTTATTTATTCAAATCATAAAGGACATTACTATCATACAATTCACACTAGAAAGTAATCATTTGATTAGTAGTAAACCACTTATAAAGCCTGTAATTCTTTCACGAATTTGTGTTCATGCTTTTCTCCCAGGCTTTAGTTTGGATGGAGGGGTTGGAGAGGGAAGAAATGAGAGAATAAGGAGGAATAGCTTATCTTGTGTTTCTTTTAAAAATGAGGAGGGAACTGGGAAAGGAAAGAATTACGAGCGATGGTCGACTCCTTTGAGTGGTTGTTTTGCTAGGACGGGATTTGAAAGAAAATGATACTGTGTGTTAATGATAACATAGTGTCGATTTTTCTAAACTTTTCAAAGGTTAACATTATACTACTTTTTTTTCTTTTCTTTTTTCTTGAATACCTTATTATAACTAATGTCATCCTCCATACTTGTTGGGATTATTCGGGGTGATTAGTTTGATATCCTTTTGTGCCTGGAGTATTTGGAAGGCGCGAAACCGTTTTGTCTTTGAGGGGGTCTTATGGAGGCCCGAGAGAGTGGTTGAGAAGGCGGTTGCAAGTTTTTGGGAGTTTAAGGATGCTAGGTCTCTCTGTACATCTTTAAGCCCAGTTCAAGCCATGCCATCGGTGGGTTTTTGGGTTCCTCCTGCTCCCGGAATGGTTAAGTATAATTTTGACGCTAGTTTTGTCGGGGATCATTGATGTGTGTGTGGGGTGGGGTAGCAGTGTTTCAGGATTTTAGAGGTGATGTGCTTAAGGCGGTGATTTTTTACCCGTTTCCGGCTTCATCGCCTTTGGTGGCAGAATCTTTGGTTTGTCAGCGTGCTGTTCTATTTGCTTTGGCTTTGGGTTTTACTTGCTTATGATTTGAATCGGATGCTAAAGTTGTTGTGGATGGGATGATGGGTGGAGCGGTTTGTCTGTCTGGAATTGCTTCTATTTGTTTTGATATTAAAGCGGATCTTCAACGGTTTTCATCATCTTCATTGACTCGTGTGTGGTCAAGGGAATAGGGTGGCTCATGCATTGGCGAATCTTTCTAGAGCTGGGATTGAGTCGGATCGTGTGTGGTCAAGGGAATAGGGTGGCTCATGCATTGGCGAATCTTTCTAGAGCTGGGATTGAGTCGGATCATGTGATGTCTTCTCTTCCTTCCTCAGTTGTGCGGCTTTCTTTGGAGGATATTGGGAGCTGAGGGTTTTGGAGTTGTTTGTTTGTTTTTGGGTGTTCGATTGCCAGGAAAAAAATAAATAAATAAATAAATACTTGTTGGGTTTAAGAGCACCAAAATCGACAGCTTTATTCAAAATTTTAAGTAACTCTTTTCAAATTTTAAATCTAAACTGCTGATTTGGACCCCAAATATAGCATTCATGTTTTGTATCACAGAGTGAGTGGTGCAAGTTTCTGCGAAACAAAAATTTTCTTCCAAACTTGTCATTATACTTTAATGAATTTGACATGTTCTGTAAAAGCAATAATAAATAATCCATAACAATACAATGGAAGCATGGAGAATCACAATAAACTTAAATAAAAATCAATAGACATTTCTTTTTCTTCTGGGCCTCTGGCAAATAACGGTGCCAATCACTTGATTCAATTCAAACTCTCATGGCAATGGTGATTATTCGAAGGTATGAGATAAGTCAAAGCAACAACTTTCAGTCTTTCAATGTCGACAGTCAATAATAAAAATGAAGATATCACAACTCACCGGTTGAATTGTATGGGTGGAATAAGATGGGACTAATTTAGTGGTATCTTACAAATTTTTCGTTAAATGAATTTTTTTTAAAAGATGTTGACCTGGCAATTTATCTTAGTAAAATGTTGTGAAGAAACAGTTAATGAAAATATTGAGATTGATTATAAAAATAAGATATTAATAACAATCAGGTTCTTACTTTTATTTTAAAATTAAAATAAATTTAATTGGCAAAATAAAATGAAAGAGGCGGTCTCGAACGAACTCAATCTACCCAAAAAATAAAAATAAAAATAAAAAATCTATCAAAACGGTGGTGTGTCAGACGGTTTCTTTCCACATCTTGACTCATATAAGTGATAAGTCATAACGTGTAATTCCACAATCCAAAACCAAAAAATGAAAATAAATAAATAAATAATAAATAACCGATAGAGAGAAGCCATCCAGAGCAAGTCAACCGAGAAAAACAGGAAAAGCTTAAAAGTAATAATAATAAATAAATAAAAAGGCGATACTTCTTTTACCATACTCTATCTTCTTCTTCTTCAAAAAAACTGAAGTTAACCTGTCGTGCCAGAAACTGACATCAAGCATCGGCAAGATTCGGGGTTTTGAGAGTGAGAGAGAGAGAGAGAGATTTCTTGAGAGAGAAAGAGACGGGGTGAATGGAAGGTGCGAGCAACGGAGGAATGTTGTACCACGAGGTACAAGAATCGAAGCTTTGCGCCGTGCATTGCGTCAACACGGTGTTGCAGGGCCCCTTCTTCTCCGAATTAGATTTGGCCGCCCTTGCCTCCGATCTTGATCGGAAGGAGCGTCAGATGATGCTCGGCGGTGCCGCCGAAACCATCAACGACGGTTTATTATCCGAAGAGTCTCACAACGTGTCGATGGACGGCGATTTTAGTATTCAGGTTCATTCTTGAATTCATCTTTTTTTTTTTTTTTTTTGAAAATCGATATCATCTGCTTCTTTTATTCAAAAGTCAAGAATTAATGAGGTTAATTTTTAGGTGTGTAATTAGTAATTTTTTTTTAAAAAACACCAGTTTCTATTATGAAGTCGATTGTTTAGTTTCTTGGTTGGATACTGATCATTGGATACTGAGTTCTTCTAGTAGTAGAAGTAGTAATTATTTTTATTATTTCAAGAAAATCAACAGGTTGTAACTTTAGACAATTCATTTCCACAAAACAATCTCACGCTAATAACAAGTTCTGTAAATACATGTAATTGGAAAGGGGCGATTGGAAATGGAGTTCTTGATTCCTATTATTTTGTTTGGTTTCTTTGTACACTTAACGGTTTGGAATTGGAGTGTAATTTTACAACTAAAACAATTTCGCAATAGGCTCAGAGTTGGTTTTCATGTAAAATCTGATTTTGCACGATCAAAAGCAGGCCAGGTCTCTTTCATCGTCATTTTTTGACCAATAATAGTTGGGGACTATATTTTCGGTGGTTGTTATTAGTTTTTCTTGTTAGAAAATGTTGTTCTTAGTGATTATATTCTAAAAATCAATTTTATTGTGGTTGAGTTAAAATAATGATGAAGTCCCAATTTGTCTATTTATGTTTAATGCTCCATGACAAAGGTTAGGTAGCGTTGTGCTTGTCCTGGCATAATTTGCAAGCTCGGTTTAGGGACAAACTTGAGCTCTTGTGTGGAGAGATATGCTATTGTCTAATCAAGACTATTTAGTAGGAAATGGAGCGATCTGTTTTATTTTATTTTTATTATTATTTCTTTTTTGGTGTAGGAAATCTTTTTGTGGATCTTTTGGATTGTCTTTATTTGTACAGATTGGCAAGTGATAGATTGGACAAGAGAAGGTGTCTGTTTGAGAAGTGGGACTTAAAGTGTCTTCCTTTATGTGTAGCAGCTTGATTAAGTTTTAAATGTGGGTAATTTGATTTTTAGGAACTGATATTTGTAATGTGCAATTTTCGTTAACCTTATGAAGAAGTTGTCAATCACCTCTTCTGCATTGCTCTTCTACTTTGTATATTTGTAGGTGTTTTGGTGTTTGTTCTGAATAGAGTGAAGCCTCATTTCTTGAAGGATTGGTGGAATGTTGGACTGGCCACGGGGTTACAGACGGGTGGATTCTGTAATTTGGAAATCGCCCCTATTTTTATTTCTTAGTTGATTTGGAAGGAGAGAAATATAACAATTTTCAAGACTAAAATGAAATGGGTGGAGGACATGGGCAGTAACATATCACTTTCATGGTATCGTCTTGGTGTTCATGCTTGGATAGTTTATTCGCAATTCTTCTTGGTATTCATGCTTGGATCATTTGCTAAATTATATAGTAATTATTTGTTTCTGTATTTTATAGATTCCCTCGTTATCCAAAGACAAGAACTAAATTATATGAATATTATTTCAAGTTGCCTCTCAATGTTGCACTTCATGTAGAGTAATGCTATCAAGAGCCATGAGTTCTCTTCAATGACCATTACTCATCCTTAATGAATAATCACAATTGGATTGGGTAGGGGTCTTGAGATTTGCGAACGTAAAGACAAAACTTTAATTATTTCATTATAATTTTTTTCAATCATACTGTTAATAAAGAGAGCTCATGGTTATTGTCATGACAGTGGTCTCTTGATGGCATTTTCCTTCCACATTAATGTATCTATTTGTAGGTAAAAGTCGTATTAAAAGTTAATAGAAAGTTTGTTAGTAGGACTTCTAGACCTCTGGTCATATATCAGATTTATGGTTTATTTTGTATGTGGGTCAGTTGGTTGCACATTGTATGCATTATCTAATTGTAGCAGAAACCACCTTCATATTGATTTCATTTAGGTGCAGACAAGTTTGTTAAGAGCATGAGTGAATTGTCTTCCAACATGGCCTCGTCATTCTTCTTCTTCTTTTTTTTTTTTTAAAATGGTTAGGCAACCATCAGGTAACCAGGTTATCATGACTTTCAAGCAGAAATATAGTTTTTTCCTCCTTTTTTTGTTGTTGATTTGATGTTGTAATTTAGATAGACGTTGAACAGAACTCTCATACCCCTTCCCCCTTTGCATGCTCCCTTTTGTCTACACAGAAGATCTTAGTTTTGGAAATTTTGTTTTATTTAAGCTTCTTTACTTTATGATTCATGGATTCCTTATAATCTCTTGCCATATGTTGACGAATTAATATTGAGCATTATTATTCATTGCAAATATGATCTTCAATTAATGAGAACTTATCATGTGTGTATTTTATTGGGCTAAGTTATGTTTTTCTCTCCCTACCATGAATCTGCTTTCAATTGCCCTGTGATAAATTTGCCTACAACAAAAATACTGTGATTAGATTTTAATCATACTGCTTATTCTTTTGTTTTCTTGAAGCTTGTTTTGAATTCAAGTTATTGTGTTTTGCTCTGAAAAAAAATATCTCCTCTCTAGTTAGTTAAATCATTCTTTAGTTCAAAACCTGAATAGTAGTTTTTTTTCATTCAGTTATTTTGGCCTTTAGTATATCAATATTTGTTTTTTGCTGTTTTTTTGTTGAAATTTTATAATTGTTTAAATATTTTATGTAAAATGGAAAATAACTCACAGAATAAGGAGAGATATTCTTGCAGCAGTTGTTGAACTAAAAACTAAAGAATTAACTATTAGAGTACAAATCAGCATGAATGACTGACTACTTCAGTAAGCTTTTGCTCTAGTTGCCTTTATTATTTTCCACTGTGAAATCCTGTGTATCTCGTACCGTTAAGATACAGAAATTTCATGTTTGACCTGGTCTTCTAATACTCCTTTTACAATTAAAATGATTTCTGTTTAGAAGTTCTTATCTCTATCCTTTTTGTAGGTTAGGATTTTAAACCATTATTATTTGACCAATGGGCTTTTTTAAATATTTTCTTTATGTCTGTTATTGCACTATTTCTCATCAGGTTTCTCTTTAGGTTTCTGAAGAATCTTTGAACTGCTTTGCTGAAAAAATATATTGCATAATTATTTTGGTTGCACACCCACTTGACTTTCATGTTGTCAACTTGTTCCTGCTTCTTCTTCTTCTTTCTTACATGGGGCACGTTGATTAGAGAGAGGACTTAGCATTAGTTTTATGATGGTCAATATCTTTTTGAAAGTCTTCTTTTATTTAAAAAAATTGAAAGTTGCCGTTTATATTTGTGACATAAATTCTGATAATATACACAACACCGTTCTTCTTTTTAATCATGGTTAGTAGTTGCAGTATCTGTCATTGACCAGGGGCTAAAGATGCGCCTTGGTTGTGGAGTACCAAATCAAAAGGTTAAAAAAATCTAACAAAACTATCAAATAAAGTAGAAATGATAAGAATAACAAAATCGATTTATAAAATACACGAAATATATCATTTACAACATATAATTTTGTCTAAGAGATTATTACAGGGGTTTATCTAATCATTCTGCTACAATATAACATAGCAACCCTGTCATCAATGTAATTTTGAGATTTGATTCTTCATTTTCTTAGAACATGCTAAAGATCTACAAAGATGGAATGACATTTAATGATTTTATTTACCATTTTAAAAAAGTTGCAAATAAATCAAATATATATAGATACTCACAATCTTTTTCTTTTTTCTTTTTTTATATATTTTATTTAACTTGAAATTTGTAGTCATACTTTATTTTTTTTGTATTACTGAAACTCAACTACCAAGTATATCAATGTAGTTTTGAGATTTGATTCTTCATTTTCTTAGAACATGATATAGATCTACAAAGATGTAATGACATTTAATGATTTTATTTACCATTTTTAAAAAGTTGCAAATAAATCAAATAGATATGCATAGATACTCACAATCTTTTTCTTTTTTTATATATTTTATTTAACTTGAAATTTGTTGTCATACCTTATTTTTTTGTATTACTGAAACTCAACTACCAAGTATAAAGCCTTGATGTATTTACGATTCGGAGGAGAGAGATTTTAGGAGGGTGAGACTTGGCACAACAGTAAGGTAGCTGAGGGATGGCAACACTTGACACAACACGGTAACACCACTCAAACACGATACGGAATAAGTGGGTTTGGGTTTGGCTTAATTTGTGTTTGGGTTGTAATCTTATGGACCTGAATTGACACGATAATTTAACGTGTCGTGTTTGACCCACCAACCCGTTTATAACCTAATTAACCCATTTAACTATGTGTCGTGTTTGTGTTATAAATGATCCGTTTAGCTAAATGTGTTTGCTAAACATGTTATATTCGTGTTAAAAATTACCCATTTAGCTAAATGTGTCATATTTTTTTTTAACAATGACCCGTTTAATTAAACGAGTCAGAAATCATGTTGTGTCAGGTCTTGAGCCATTTATTAAACGGGTTACGTATGTTGTGTCTTGTTCATGTCAAAAATTTTTTGACACGAATAATAATCATGTGTATTCGCGTCGACGGATACTCATGTCCTCGCACGACACGCCTAAGGAGAGAGATTTTAACCCCCCACCAACCAAGAAAAAAAAATAGAAAAAAGGAAAAAAAAGGAGAGGGATTTTGATGAGTCCTATAGATGAGAGGAGAGCGTGTGAGATAGTGACAGATTGTAAATTGGTTTGAAGAGGTAAAAGATGGAAATAAGTGAGAGAGATTGGATAACTACTTTTGGACAAATGCATTGAGTGGCTGCAGTGTGAAAACTCTCTCTTGTAAACCAAAGGTGAAGTGATCTTTTGTGATACCATGTGAGAAAATCGCAGCAATACTAAGTTGATTCGCAGTGTCGCACAGTATTGCTTGAAACAACCAATGTTCCTAGTGGTACATGCAATAAATTGTGCGACTTACCCAGATGACGCCATTTCATTTAAATATTGTACGCGGTCTTGTTACCATAATCAAAAGCCAGTGAGACTAAGATGACTCAGGACTCAGGAGAGTCAAGCAGTCAACCCAGTCACAGGCAATACTCCAAACCTTGTTTTCAATATAGTTGTATTCTTAGATTCACGTTTTAGGAAAAGATTTGTGGTTTATGCGTTAACCTAATTTAATTGGGTTTGAATGGAGGTATAAGCATGTGTCTATTAGTTTGTTTGTCCAACCTTGATATCTTAGGGTTCTTGTACTTTGCTAAGGGGTTTCCGACCTAACAAATATGGGGTAATATGGACATGTCATGCACCAAGCACTAGAAGATAGTTCTGTGTAATGTATCATGCTTGAATCTAACTAGGGTTCAGAATGGTGGTGGGATTGGATAGAAAGAATAAAAAGACGATTTCAATTGTAAGATATTAAACGTGTGACATCTTATTTAAAGATAAATATGTCAATTATTTAGAGTTTCTTTTTGTGTATCGTATGACTGATCTGATTTGCAAGGACCATGATTGGGAATTGTTTGGTCGTCTTTATCTTAAAAAGAGAGAGATACTAATAAAATTGAATTCAGGACTGCTGTTCGAAGTCTTAGTGAAACAATGATTTGTCATCTCATCTTCTTTACATGAAAAAAATACCAATTAAAGTGGAGGATTTTCTTTAAACAACTAGCCAACTAGGGGTTGGGTTAACTGTTCATTCCAATGAGATTGAGCATGTTTACCGTCTCTTCTCAAGAAACAGATGGGCTATTTCGTTGCAAAATTGTTCTCAATTATTCTATTTAGCAAAATTGTCCTCAATTGATCTATTTTGAAATCCATAGTTGACATAATTGGCACTTATAAGATCCATGATTGGCATCTATTGAGGATAGCACTTTCTTTGGCATTAATAATTGAATTCTTTAATCTTGATAATGTAAGAACATCTGAGTATATACTGCATGTCCAGCAGTGATGAATTGCCTTCAAGTTGAGCTTTATCTGCAAGAGTGGCAATAGTTTTAGTTTGCTGTTCTTTTTAATGCAGACATTGTAGTACCAGGCTTATCAGGTAACGTGGTTGAGGGGTGGGGGGAATCACACATTGGACTAATATTTATTAAAATCATGTTACATTGATGTGTATATGGAACAAAAGAGTGCTTTAGTTGAATGACTAAAAAGCCTTGTGATTTCATTTTTAGGCCCATGTCCTATAGTAAAATTTGGAGAAGGATGATGGATTTCTTGGAGTTTGACAGGACGAGTAAATGTAGAAAAGAGAAATTATGGTGAGTTAATGTTGGGTGCTTTTATTTTCATAAAGGCCAGAGAGAAAACAATGAGTTTTTCTATAGTCTGGTATCTCCTGCCCATTTACTTGAAAACAACATGATTTCCCCCACCCCAAACACCAACCCACAACCAGAAGAGGAAAGGAAAAAGGAAAAGCACAGTTTGTATTCTTGTTTCATTTTGTTGATTTAAGTGTAGTATTACTTTTGATCCTTTCTGCAGTGACCACAATTTGGGGTTGGATTCATTGAACTAAATGAATGTTAATTTTGTTGGTTGAAGTGAATGATTAGCTTTGCTCCTTTCTGCAGTGACCACTTTTTGTTGCCACATTACTCCAGCTGTTCTCTTGAATAATTTAAAATTTTTGCATGCAGGTTTTACAGAGGGCGTTGGAGGTATGGGATCTGCAAGTGATTCCACTCAAAAACCCAGTTGCTGAGCCTGCTCAGATTGATCCGGAGCTTGAAAATGCATTTATCTGTCATTTGCAGGACCATTGGTTCTGTATCAGGAAAGTGAATGGAGAGTGGTACAACTTTGACAGTCTCTACGCAGCCCCTGAGCACCTTTCCAAGTTTTATCTCTCAGCCTACCTGGACACCCTAAAAGGCTTTGGTTGGAGCATTTTTCTGGTGAGGGGAAACTTCCCAAATGAGTGTCCCATCACGTCCTCCGAAGCTTCTTATGGTTATGGGCAGTGGTTGTCACCTGAAGATGCAGAGAGGATAACTAAATCATGTAACTCAGTACAGAGACCACCTCACAGAACCGATCTAACTCAGCATGTTTCTGATCCATTTCTTCAGTACAGGGAAGCAGACATGCTTTTAGATGCAGAAGACGAGGATTTGAAAGCTGCAATAGCTGCTAGCTTGATGGATTCGTCCCCACCCATTGTCGTTGCTGAAGCTGGCACCTCGCAAAATGAAAATAAGAACAGCCGTGATGAAAATGCATGAGGATATATATTCTTTTCAGATTTATGTTTTACACGTTAACAATTATGATCTCTGTGAGGCTTGATGGTTGAAGTCACAACCTTGCATGAGTCGCTGTAGAATTTATATACTATTTTTAATTTAATTTACTACATTTTTATCATGTTTAGTGGTACAATATTGTAAAACCTAAAATAGATTATGACAAATTTGCAATTTGCATTATTTAAAATTTTTAAGATAGTGAAGTCATTTATTCTGTTCAATGGTAACTTGGAATGCTTGTAGCATTTAGTGCATCAAGGTTCTGCGTTGTTAGGAGCACTAGTTGAGCGAGCAACAAGGTTTTGTTTGTAAAAATCATTTTGTTTGCATGATGTTGATGAAAAGATTGTCAAATTTATGGCTCCTCAACCCATGGACCTTCCTCCCATGGCTACGAAATTATTTGAAAATTTGTAGCCAATTTAGTGCCAGTCAAAAGTATATTCAAGTCTTGTAAATCACAGGGCTTTTAATTTTTTTAATTTATTTATATTAGTTGACATAGTTTCTTCTTCTCATGTCCAATCTGTTACTTGGCTTTCAGTGTCTTTGTTCTCTTCAATTTCATAATATATATATGGAACAACGGTTACATCTGTCTTGCATGGCTTAAGGAGCGTGCCACAAAATCAAGGAAAGAGTTCCATCGTAATAAACTAACAATTTTTGTATCTACCATTCTTATCTGATATTCTTCTTCTCTCCATTCTGGCATTCTGGTCCCTCATTAGTACCGAAATTATATATATATATATATATATATATATATATATATATATATATATGGAACAACGGTTACATCTGTCTTGCATGGCTTAAGGAGCGTGCCACAAAATCAAGGAAAGAGTTCCATCGTAATAAACTAACAATTTTTGTATCTACCATTCTTATCTGATATTCTTCTTCTCTCCATTCTGGCATTCTGGTCCCTCTTTAGTACCGAAATTTAGATTATCCTGATAAAATATGTATATAAATTATATTTATTGTTAAATTCAATTGAAATCAGATCTCATAAATAATACGGATTCCGCTAGAGTTAAATCAGTTTGCTTCAATCGAATTGAGGTTGAAATGAGAAAATTATCCATCCCTTTGGGAGTCCTACACGAATGTGCTTCAAATTTATGAACATGGGGCAAGTAATTTGTATTGTAAAAGCTGAGGAAAGTCGAGAACGACTGAAATAGAAGTCAACATAACTATCTTGCAAATGTCAATTCATAATCTACATTGAGTTAAGATGGATATTGTTGAATATCAAAGGGCTATTATTTTGAATCCTCATATCAAATTGATACTTTATTTATCTAAGTTCATTAAACAGCAACAAATGGGTTAATTATATTAAAGAGATTTAATACTCATTACATCAATAGCATCATGAAAGGTGAAGATTTATATGAACTATGAAGCAATTTCAAGTCTCATGAATCAAAAGATGCAAAGACAGTCTATTATATTATTGGTTCAGTTGTTTTGAAGCTGGGGTTGTGAAATGCATTTTTTTGTCCCACATCGGAAACATACAAAAGCGATATACTGTGGCTTGCCTATATAAAGCATGTAAAGGTAAAGGAGAAACATACTTACCTGGACTAATTTTGAGGCCTTTAAAATGGGCTTTTTAAGGACCAAAACTCTTAGTGTACCCTTGATATTTTATTACAAATTTCAATAATTGCATTTTTAAAAATTGTAAAAACTCATTAGTCAAGCTATAAGTTGGGATGGGCTTTTTATGTTTGGTCTGTTGTCGTCCAAGCCTTTTTAATGGGCATTTCAGACCCGAAAACTATCGGTAATTACATTTTTCAAAATTATAGAAACTCATAATTCATGCTTGTGGTGTTTTTTTGGACTAGATATGAGAAATATTAAGAATGCAAATAAGTTAATAAAAACAATGAAAATTCCGTTCAAAGATTTGATGATGGAGAAAATGAATTCAAGAAGTTCCGACTCATTTTATTTCACAAGTGATCTCAATCTAAATTTAAGTTGTGTGCACACTCAAATAGTCAAATCCCATTCTCACTAAAAATTAAAAAAAGAAAAGAAAAATAAAATAAAAATAGCCAACAACAAGCGTATCTAAACTCACATGGCATAATTGATCTTTTAAACCTTGAAAAAGAAAAAGGTCCTAATGTAACCGCGAGCAAGGCCATGCATAGCCGCTTAGCACTCTTTTTTATATAAGTAGCACTCTTGTTCAACTAAAGTGTTTTTTTTTTTTCAATAGCTAAACGTGTATCAATAACAGAAGTTGCAGTGGAGTGGGATATTATAAATTTATAATTCTTGAATTTGGATCCTTTTATAATATCACGTTATAGTGAAGTGGACGATCATGATAATTCATGCTATACTATAATATTAGAGGATCTCACCTCATTATTTTTAAAATATGTATGTAAATTATATTTATTGTTAAATTCAATGGAAATAAGATCTCATAAATACGGATTCTGCTAGATTTAAATCAATTTACTTCAATCAAATTGAGGTTGAAATGAGTAAATTATCCAACCCTTTGAAAATCTTACAAGAATGCGCTTTAAATTTATGAACACGGGGCAAGTAATTTGTATTGTAAAAGGTGAGAAAATATAACCGTCGAAAACGATTGAAATAGAAGTTATGTAGCTATCTTGCAAATGTCAATTTATAATCCACATTGAGCTAAAATGGACATTATTGATTATCGAAGTGCCATTATTTCAAATCCTCGTATCAAATTGGTACTTCTTTTATCAGAGTTCATTAAATAGCAACAAATGGGTGGATTATGTAAAAGAGATTTAATACTCATTACATCAATCAAATCAATATCATTATGAAAGGTGAAAAATTTGTATGAAGCAATTTGAAGTCTTGTGAATCAAAGATGCAAAGACAGTCTATTATACTATTATTGGTTCAGTTGTTTTGAAGCTGGGGTTGTGAAATGCATTTGGTTGTCCCACATCGGAAACATACAAAAGCGATACACTGTAGCTTGTCTATATAAAGCATGTAAAGGGAACAGATCCACATACTTCCTGAACGGGATCTATGGGTGATTCGTGAGACTTATGGTGACTCTCACTGCATTCGGGAGGGGTCTCCCCGAAGGTTTAAGTTTAAAAGTTGTGGGTTTTTATGGTTTGTTTAGTCTATCGTCTAATGTTCAGGCATTTTTAATGGTGTCTTACAAATATCAACAATTACATTTTTAAAATTATAAAAACTCTTAATTCTTTAAAATTATAAAAACTCATAATTCATTAAGTTCTAAGAGATTTACTGTTTGGTGGGCTTTTAAGGTTTTAAGAATTATTTCTTTAAATATATATATATTTTCTTTGAAAGGTATTTAGGGGAGAGGAAAAAGTAATAATCTTAAAACTCTATACTATTAAATAATTTTATAACTTATTATATAAGGGTATATTAGTAAAAAAATATATAAAAATTATCATTTTCTTCATTCCAACTAAACAAAAAAAACTAGCACTCCATCAATTCTTAAAAAAAAAAAAAAATGAAAGAGACACTTTTTCTTCTTTAGGGATTACTCATTCATCCCTTCTCCCTTCCATCCATTTTTTTATTCCTCCAACCAAACAGAGACGTGTGTAACAACCAATTAGAAAATATATATATATGTGAACCCGTGGCCGGTTGGTTATTATAATATTTAGGGGAGAGGAAAAAGTAATAATCTTTGAGCCTGAAAAGCCCATAAATAAGGCTTTTATATATATTGAGAATGTAAATAAGTTAATAAAAACAATGAATATTCCATTCAAAGATTTGATGATAGTAAAAATGAATTTAAGAAGTTTGACTCGTTTTATTTCACAAGTGATCTCAATCTAAATTTAAGTTGTATGCACACTCAAATAGTCAAATCCCATTCTCAATAAATATGAAAAAAAGAAAAAGAAAAATTTCATGCCAATCTTAGAAAAAAAATAAAAACAAAACTTGACTATGAGTCAACAACAAGCGTATCTAAGCTCGCATAGCATAATTGATCTTTTAAACCATGAAAAAGAAAAGGTCTTAATGTAACAGCGAGCAAGGCCATGCATAACCGCTTAGCACTCTTGTTCAACTAAAGTGTTTTTTTTTTTTTTTTTCAATAACTAAACGTTTATTAATAACAGAAGTTGCAGCGGAGTGGCCTGAGTGTGATGTTATAAATTTATAATTCTTGAATTTGGATCTTTTATAATATCATGTTGCATTGATGCGGAGGATCATGATAATTCATGTTATACTGTAATAGAGGATCTCAACTCATTATTTTAAACTATTTAGTTGGTTATAACACAATATGTCGATTCCCATTCTTTCAAAATTGGGAATCAACTAATTCTTAGGGCATGTTTGAACGCTGCTTTTGGCCCTTTTAGGTTCCAAAACTGTTTTGAGTAGTGTTTAGTCATCATAAAAATAAGAATAAATTAGACTGATCTATCCTAAGATTTGGACAAATCTTACACAAGTGGAGCGTTTAAGATTTATTGCTTTAACCTGCCTTGAAGCTTGGGTGTATGCTCAACAAACTCCCCTTTGCATCAAAACTTGTAAAAAAAAATTCATAAAATGGCTAAGTTGCCATTACACTTATTTTTATTAATTTATTTATTTACATGATATTTTTTAGGAGAGGGTAGAGCTGGTGGAGAAGAGAGAGAAAGCAATAGGAGATATGACATAGAATAATTGATTTTTTAAAAATTTATAATATATTTTGTATTATAAAGATATATTACATATAAGAGTATAATTGACTTTTTAAAGTCTTAAGGGAGGTCAGAGTAATAAACTTCAAACGCTGCACCCATGTGAGATTTGTCCAAACCTCAAGGGAGGTAAGTGTAATTTATCCTAAAAATAAAGTCAATAAGAATTGTCTTCTCACTACATGTATGATATTTCGTTATATTAATATCTTGTTAATTTCTTTTGAATTCAATTTGATGTTTATTTATTAAGAGAGTCTTGATTAAACTGAACCTTGATGACTAAATGATAATTGTTCCAAATCATTTAGACTATGTTTGGTATAGAAGAAAAGAAAAGAAAAGAAAAGAAATGATAATATTAGTTATGGGGGAAAAGAAAGGAAAGGATAATAGACAATAGTGTTAACCTCATTACGTTTAGTTGATTAATAAAGGAAATGATAATAATCATGTTTGGGAGAGAAAGGAAAAGAAATTATTTTAACTAATTTACCACTATACCTTTTTATATTATATAAAAGACAAATCTATATATTAAGCATGCAATTTATGAATATGACACCCATATTTAAGCTGAAGATATAAACATAAACTATTTATTTTTTCATAACATTTATTGAAAAAAAATCAGATTTTGTAATTTATTCATTGTAAGCTCCTTTTAAGTTATTATCCTGTTGACACCCATTTTGATAATTGGGCTTGAATTATATATAATTAGGCTGAAGATTGTTTGGATTGGCAATCAATTTGGGCTGAAAATCATTGCCATTCTACATAGATTTAATAATGGACTTGGACTACAGTTATAAGGGAGCAATGACAGCCACTGATCGAATAGAATATTTTTGATGAAGAGATGATGGATAAGGTTTATGTGTAATATTTATTTTTTATTTGATTTTAGTTAAATATTAGTATTTATCTAGGATCGTTTAGTTTGAATTTATATTCAGTTATGTTATAGAATTATATTGCAATTAGAATACTTATGTATATGATTTTGTTTACGATTTATTCTATAAATAAAGAGATATGTTGTGAAAAAGGTTTAGCACCTTCATAATCATTTTATTATTATGTTTGTTTTTTTTTAAAATAGCATCCTTGCTATTTCTATCTCTTTCTATATTAGGATTTTCTCATTTTTCTATTCTTTAACTGTTACTATAATTATTTATTATTAAAGTCCTTTTAAGGCAATCCTGAACTTACAAGAGGAGTATATTTGTTATCTTTCTTCTCGTGAAAGTCATACTATAGTTGACAACTCACATTCAAACTATACAATTAGTTCTGGCACGCCTGCAACAGATCAAAATTAAGATCGACTAAGTCAGCAGATTTTAGTGTCAACACAACCTTAAGCAATCCTTTAAAAATTCAAGCATATCCATTCAATAAATGGAATACTCCTACCCGGTTGATCATTTGCCGTAAATTAAGGCATTCCAAAATGGGTACCCAATTTCATCTACAAGCTTTTCAAAGGAAGGTTAATATATTCATGTAAAAAAGACCAAATATCATTTAGTTGTTACCAAAAATAATATTAAAAATAAATATCATCTATTTGTTGCTAAGATTAGATACTTCTCTTCTCCAAACTCTTAACTCAAATAGAGAATTTGGAGAAGAAACCCATCTAACCCACCATTGAAAATAGAGATTTTACAGGAACCATTGAGGCAATAGATTTTGATTTACCTAACCACTAGTAAATTTTGGTTCCTTTCAATAAATTTTGGTGACTTTGTTTCCCACATTCACCAAAGTGAGTAAAACATGACTTAATTTTAATTTTATTTTAAGGGTAAATTTGATATTATAAAAATTACATTAGCATTTTATTCTCTTTTCTTTCATTTCCTCATTTTAAAAGGATAGCAAAAGTTAAAGCTTTACTCTCTCATTCCAAAACCCTACATTCCCTTTCCTTTCCTTCTAACCTTTTTCTTCCAAACACAATTTTTTATTCCCCTTCATTACCTTCCTTTCTTTTTCCTCTCATTTCCATTCTACCAAATTGGGCCTTAATAATTTATGAGATTATTGTCGTCAGCAAAATTCCAAAACTAATCTAAACAGACCAGAATATGAAATGAAACGTGAATATTTGCATCTCCTCTGAGAAATGGTGTACCCGCGAAACATATGAAAACCGGCAACAGCGTGTGGACCCCTTATTGGAGATCAGATTGATGACAAAACAATCATTTGATTTAGTTTTTCTTAACAGCAAAGGAAATTTGCATATATATATATATATATATATATATATATATGTATGCATATATATGTATAGTTAACTACTAGTGGTAGTGCATTTCAAATAGTTCGACAGTTGTAGTAATTGATCTCTCGGATATACTTTACTTTCTCCATCTGAAAAATGCAGCAGGAAAGTCAAATGGAGGAGCCTCTGCTTTCAGGTTTAATTTCCTCTCCATGAACTTGTTGCCATATATATATATACACACACGCATGTACATAGTATGTATATAGGCGTAACTGTTGATTGTTTTACTTGAATTGAGAAAGTGAAAAGTGAAGTTGGAGATAAAGAGAGCGATAAATGGAGTTCGTATCAGTATGTGGGAAGGGTAGGTTCCGTAATTCCGACCACTTCCTTGGCCGAAACAGAAGTCAGCGTCGACGAGATTCGATCCGCCGCTGCCTTTTCCGACCGCTACCCTCCGTCTCTCCATGCCGCTTTGGTTGACACCACCGATTTCCCTCCCGATTCAGGTACACCCATCATCATATCCCCAATTCCGTATTTTTTGATTTTTTTTTTGGGCATCGGCTGAATCAAACATTTACATTAGGCCGAGGTCAGTGGAGGGTTCTTTATTTGATTCTAAAAAGTGAAAGAACTTCCACTTTTAATTTGACTTTCTTTTCCTTTCCTAAGTTTTCTCATCTGCCAATCAGATCATTCAGCCTTAAAAGTTTTAACCATTTGCTTTCTGCGGGGCCTAAAAGAAAACTGCGACTTTCCATAGTGATATATGTATGCAAGAGAAGTTATGTTTTTAGGCTTGGCTATACTGTGAAGCTATGGTTCATTTATGCTTTGAAGATTAGGTTTTTCAATTGATTAACTAAGGCTTCAAATAACTTCACTATAAACCAACTGTTCATTATACTTTATGGTTTCAAATCGATGATAAGCAAATCTGATTGGTCCTAAATTTGAGAGTCCATACTTCCGAACACATTTAGCTCAGTACACAAGAACATAATCTTGCAAATTATAGATAACTCTTATATTATTTATCACAATTATTCCCAAATCAACATAAATATAAGACGTCCATATTGTTTTTGAAATTTATGTATCAAAGCTTTTTTTTTTCCTTTTCTTTTCAGAGTCTAGATTACCCATATTTCATTTGAGACATCTAGTCTGTTTGGTTTGACTATTATAATTAGTTGCACAATCTAATTTACCATGACTTAGTAGAATTCTACCATCAATGTTATCCATTTAAACTCATAAAAAATGTTTTACATAGTGAAGTTTTTTTGTTTAAACTACATAACTAGCCGTGTGAAAAGATGTCTACATGGGGGTCCTAATTCGGTTCACGCTCCTTACTCCTACATCAAGCATGCAACATTTTCTAGTTTCCATGTTAACATTATCTGTTTGAAGTAATTATTAACAATGAAATGTTCTCATCTGAAGCACATATTGGAACACCCTGTAATTATAACAGAACTACTTCTCCGTTATTATATTCTTTTGGGGAAAAGTATCTTAAATTATGAATTATGCTTGCAGACCAAGCCATTGTTTACCAAGGTCAAGGAGGAGGTTATGGTGGAAGCACTGACATTGTTCAAAGGTAAGGTTGGATATTGTGCCCCTGTAAATTTCACTTAAGACTGATCCACATAGCTTAATATGGTGGTTTAATGGACCACATATTCTTTGTATTTGGGTTCATCAATATTCTCCTTAACGCAATGATGATCTTAGTAGAAGTTTGAAAATGGTGACTATGATGCAACATTTGGAAGCTGCAGAAATATGATGTCAAAGTCGGCATCATATGACATTGAATTATTTTATATAACATATGGTGCTACCATGCTGTCAAGCTTATGAAGACAAAGTTTCTTATACTGTAGTATAGATGAATGAGATGACAACTAACTTGCTTCTATAGGATAAATTTGGAGGAATAAATGTTTCTTTCATGCATTTTGGAGGGGTTGCATACCTGACCCAATACTCCACGTGGTGCCAACATGGCATTCTCTATGTCACCATATGGCAGTTGGCACCTAGGTGGCAGCAACATGGCTTCCCCACCTCTGCCAGAGGCATCTCCAAGAAAGTCCAGGTTTACTCATTCAGCTTGACATGTGGCTTCCTCAACTCGAACAGTATCCAGATGTTTTCTCTCTGAATTTAGTACATGTATTAACCATTATGGGTTAAATCGTAACTATCACGACCTCAAACTTACTAAACAAGGTGAAGGTATCTCTGTTTTAAAACTCTTTGATTGTACTGCATCACATAGGAACATTCTGTCTGGCAGGTTTAACTTTGTCTCCTTGACAGGTTTATCTTCAACATAATTGTTTTGCCATTGAACATGCATTATTATTTCCAAGACTGGTTATCTTTGCCTTATTTAATTCGCCGGATCAGATTTGTTGTTGTAGTTATAGTTAAACTTTTAGAGCCTATTTGCTTTAGTTTTTTTATCCCTGCACTCTGGTTCCTTAAACCATAACCCTTTTCTAATCTTCTGATCAGGAATCCAAAACCTGCTCAGAATATTTGCTACTACTTCTTTTCTATTCTAGCAATCAATCAATTTTAGAACTAATATAATTTCAAACCTTGTCCATCTTCAAGCCATATATTCTTCTCTACCCATGAAGAACTTAAATCTACTAGTTTCCTCCATATCACACTGCAAAACCAATAATTGGTAGCACTATCTTAAGATTTCTAGGACGGTTCTACATCAGAGACAACATTCTGCCGAAAGCATGCTGGCCCATTTTTGCAAAAGTGCTGATTAGTGAAATGTGTCTTTTTATATGTTCCACCAGGATTTCCAATGAGTTCACCAAATAATATATACATTTGTGTGAGTGTATGTTGCCTGATTGGATGGCTCTAGTCACTTCGTCTTTGAAGGTTAGTGTAGAAATTAATGTATTAACATCCTAAAGAAACTGGAGGGACTTGATTTTATTGACTTTTGATCATCTAATTATGTCCAACTATCATTTTGTACTTGGTTGGTGTACCTATAGACTTGGGCCATATGAATGATATAGCCATTTTTTTTACCGTTAGGCTTCATTAGTTAGCACCATACGAATCTCTCCTTGATGGCTCTTTGTGATAACTTATGTTGTTCAATGTTTTATAGCATTCTATAGTAATGTATTTATTTGTTCATATTTTGTATTGTTGTATAGGCAAATATTGGATGAGGTAGAGATACGGGAGTTGCTCATTGATCATGTTGGTCATCGATGCTGTTGGGGAAGTCGCCCAGCTCGGACCTGGAAGATTCATGCAGTGGAAGACTGCAATGTTTATGTGGGAACTCTAGAAACTTTCATAGAGGAGAGGGAAACCATAAAAGAGACAGAGCCATACCTTGGTGGACAAATTGATGGAAAGGACAAGGGGGCAGAACTAGGAATCTGGGAATTGGATTTGAGATCTGAATTTCCTGTTCTATTTACACCTCATAACGAGTCAAGGGCTAAGATTCCTCATTCTGAAGCTATTGTGAAATGCTCAGGTATGGATTCAATAATGGTGGTGACTTAACCCCCATGGGGTAACCGAGTTTGCATAGAGCTTTTGGGTACATACAAGAGGGCTCTTGTTTAACTCCTGGAGGTTACAAAACTTCTGTCTAATCCTAATTCAATACCCATTGTTTGCAAATCAATTTGGGTATCTGGAAGGATTAGTCCCGCCCCCGAATGGTGTGAGCATACCCTATATTCCTATCCGGTCCATCAGTCACTGTTCGTCTGTCCCTCTAGTTACCTATACTTTTCTTTTCTCATCATATTTGTGTTGTACTTGTTAATTTTACAGTTGTATTGTTATGAGGAAATGGCTTTCCACATTTTGTTTGTAGCAGCCAAGCCAGTATTGTTGAATCCTGTTGCATTTTAAAATATTCGCAGTTTGTGCTGGACGAGGAGGTATTGTGTGCTCTACATGCAATGCAGATCAAGAACCTGGATTTTACAAGGAAAACCAGATGACTCAGTGCGCTGGTTGTTATGGAAGGGGTTTAATTGCTCATAAAGATGGATCTGACACAATGTGAGCTTTTCCATTAATGTAATTATTTACTTATTTGTGGATAGTCCAAGCAATAATTTGTTAGCAAGCTGGTTCAAGTTCAAATTTTGTGGATGTAGTCATCCACTTTTTACTTTTATGTTGTTTCTTTACACATCATTACCAAGTACCATATGTGGCCAGTACCTCATGTCTGTGCATCTCTTCAATTCACACATGCTACATAGGTTTTTTTATGACCTCGGCTATTGTGCCTGGGTATTTAAGGTTACATGTGTTTAAATCCTTCCACATTATATAGGTGTATGTGTATGCATGTTAATGAAATGAAACTGAATAGAATGAAGTAAACTAAGTCAGTTTTAGTACAATAATGAATAAATAAACAGTGATGTCAAATAATATTAAAGGGGTGGTTCCACTGGGAGAACGATCAATTTTTTTTAACATTAAAATTTCTTTTCCCTTTTATCATGGACTGTGTTTTACAACCCGGGGCGTGATAGTATGTCAGTGCAGTTCAAACATAGTAATAGGGGAATTGAACCCAACAATGTTGACTGTTGAGCCTAATTGCTAGTTAGAGAGTAGCTTACCTGTTGGTGGTGGAATTGGTTGTTGTTAATACGTTCTCCTGATTGTGTTAATGATTTATGATTAAATTGGTTATTGTTGAGTGTCATGTAATTTATTGAAGGTTTTCTTTTCTGCAGATGTGTGAAATGTGATGGTAAAGGAAAGATTCCTTGTGCAACTTGTGGATCTCATGGGCTAGTTAAATGCGGGACATGTCAGGGTTGTGGTTCTCTTTTGACACGTAATATAGCCGTTGTTAGATGGTATGTATGCTATTTTGTGCTGGAAATTAACCCATTAGGCCATGCCTTTATAACTAATGATTATAATTATATAAGTGATCTTCTCAATTTACCCTTTCTCCTACCCCAAATTAAATAAATGAATATATACGAATAGAACTGCGCTTCAATGGACTAAAAAAAAATAAGGAGGCATTTCTATCTGTCTGCTAGCAACCTGTGTTTCTATTCTAGTATTGATGTTGTTTGACACTGAATTAGTTACTCATCTTGGAAAGTCGAGAGATAGTCACTGCCTTAGAAGGGATGTTCTGTCTAATTTCGTGACTCAAATGATACGGAATGAGCTTGCCTGTCAAGCTATTGTGTTGGATGATGAAGCATTTATGATCTTTTACGCTTCTATTTAGCTTTCATAGATGATTAATTGGATTGGCATAGGACATCGTGAGATCTATTAGTTCATTAAGTTAGGAATGCCTGGTTATATACTTGTATGCAGTTGATAGCCTGAAAGCTTTTTTTTCCCCCAGTAGGTGTTGATAGGCTGCAAGTTATCTACAAAGAACAAAGCATTGTCTCTGGAGAATGTTCACTCAAATATGGTCCATCAGACTGATTGGTTTATATTCTTTGGTAGTTACCGTAATTGTCTTTTGCTAGATCCGAAACCTTGGTTCTTGTGCTTACTTCCTTCATTTGACAAATTCAGAGCTTTTTTTTTTTTTCTCGGGGGGCCAGGTGGGACTCATGTAGGGTACATGTCTATTTGTCATGCAATAATTTGCATTCCTTGCAATATGTGCATAGGCATGCATCCATCTACAGTAAGCCAGTTAAATCACATGATAGATGGTATAAGTTTTTGCCTTTGCAGGAAGACGGTTTCAACTCGAAAAGTAAGTGCAACAAGCGGAGCAGGCTCTGTTCCGGATGAGGTCTTCCACAGAGCCAAAGGGGTTATGTTGTGCAACACTCAGGCCTATCAGTGCACTCCTGCCTTTTTTGCCGATTCATTCTTCCTGAACAAGTTCTCTTCTGATGTTATCGCAGACAGGGATCCTGTGCCTCCTACTGCAAGGGTCATATGTGAGAGGCATACCATCTCCGTCGTGCCAGTGACACGTGTCACCATGTCTCATCGTGGTCGGTCCTTCAGTTTCTATATTATTGGTTTTAGCAGAGAGGTGTACTTGAAGGATTACTATCCTTCTAGGTTTTGCTGGGGGCTATGCCCATGCTTGGAGTGGTTGAAGTTATAACCAGGGGATCATAAATTTTTATGCCATACAAATTAGCTGGTGACATCAGAGCTTGGATGGAAGGACCTCTCTGTCTCTGAGCTCTGTTGCTTTATGGTTGCTGTTGTTCTAGATGGTATCAGGTCTGTTGTTGATATGTTGTTTTATAAGGTCTCTTTCTTAGTAATCGGAATGGTTTGAAGGTATTTGCATATTTGGTGGAAAAGGAATCAAGCTTTGCATAATGCTTCTCAGGTTGCCGGGAAAATCATATTTGGGAAACTACTGATCTGTTGGGATTGCAACTTCAAAACATTGTGGATGGAGTGCTGGCTTAAGTTTGAGGTTTTAATAGTTTTTTTTCTTTTTTAGTTGATAGCGTTGTGGGGGTGGTCCTGTGTTGTCATAGACTGGTCTGGCCCCTTGATGTGTTTTTGGTTTTTGTTTCTCGTTTTGGTTGGCTGGCTTTTGGAAGTGGGTATTTCTAAGCTGTGCTGTGTTTTCAGAAGGGTGTGCCCTTCTAGTTGCTTGCATTATGTTGTTTTTGGTTAATAATATTTTGTTTAGGTAAAAAAAAAAATTTGCATATTTTTTTCAGGTTTGAAACTGCCTTTTGTGTGTTTCTTGCTCTTCGGAATTATGGATATGAGAGACCTTTGTTAGTTGCTACTCAAAAAAACCTGTCTTTTACTTCAGTTAGACAAAGGGAAAGAATGGTAGTTCTTCAGAATTTTACTCCTTTAGACTTGGAAGATTGTGTTTTCATTGGCCGGGCGTTACATAAATGCTACCCCGGGGTATTAAATAATTTTTCATTAAATGTTTCGAACTGTACTTACAAAATCGGTTTTTATGCCATTCCTTTCTCTCTTATAAGAGTAGTGCTATTTTCCAGAGTACATAGAAACCGACAAAATGCGACTCCTATGTGGTTGTTAGTGTATGGTTCAACTGTTCACAAGAATTGTAAATTTTTTTTTTTTCACCGACGCATGCATCGACCCACTCTCTCTCATTCCAGTGATCGTGGTTCGATCGCCATAGAGTTCATCAACTTGTTACTCGGTTCAACATCCCAAGAGTTGCTACTTGATTGTTTTTCTTTTTTGATGCATAAAATCAAGCTGAATTAATAGGAAATGTCACTAAATTGACTAATTCTCCACAGAAATCAAGAAAATTGATTATGATGTGATATTTCAAATTTAATCCAAACATATGGTACCCAACTCAACGATTCAATTTGATATTGTTCAAGTTGATTCTTGTCATCTGCTTTTTTGAATTTTGGGTTCTGATCAGTGTTGGCAGTGGTGTTGAGAAGCTGTTGAATTCGAGAGAGCGCATTGGGTGCAATGGAGTTGGAAAGGACGAAGGTGAGGCCAACACCGGGACTGAAACTGGCCTAGGAAAGATGGAGAAGACGAATAAGGTGGAGAATGGAGAGATGATGGTGGAATTGGATCTGAGGTTCGCTGGAATTCGAAATCGATGGTAGGTTGAACGATTGAGAACAAAAGAAAGGAAGAAAAGAGAAGACACACAAGTTTTGCCGAGAAGTCTGGCCACGTAAGCTTTCCACGTAGGTCGTTTGTAAACCGGGTGTTAAATTGTTGTCAAAAATACCATTTTCCTCTTCTAAAAGACATTCCAACTTGCATGTAAATTTAGTTACTTATACCTCTAAAGGTACAACACAGGTGTTAGTCTTGGTGTGCAAATATAAAGAATGTTGGTTGTGTGTTTGTTTAAACTTATATATATATATATATATATATATAAAGAATGTCCAAATATTTTGCTTGTGGTTTAATCTTTGATGACGCCGGCTGCTCTTGCAAGGATTCAAATGGCGGAGGGGGATCCTACTCCTGTCATCCAATTGTGAGAAGTCAAAAGATGGTTGCACGATATTTTTTTATTATTCAATTCTAAAGCATTGCCTGGCACGCATACTTTTTAATGATTTCTATGTTAACTTGTTTATACAACAATTCACAATCTCATATAATAATTATTTTATTTTGATTTTTTAGAAAATTCAAGCATGCGACATTGTAATGAATTTGCTGATATGTATATGTGGTATATAGTACGGAGTATATGCTATTTGATTTCTTCCCATTATTAATCAACGTTTTATTATTATTATTATTTTATATACAAAAACCACAGTGGCAACTGTTAATATCTTGAAAGAGTTGACTTGAAATCCTAGTGAGAGGGAACCATTTCTGAATTCATCTCCATTACATGTTTTGAGGTTCATTCAATTAAAAAACAAAAAAATCGCTAGACAGGTGATTTTGACAAAGGACAATCAATTCCGAGATTTATTTTCGAATTAACTTGTTATTTTTTTATACAATGAAAAATAATTATAAATATATTAATGATAAATAGTTCGATTCTCGTATCATCCTGACGTCAACTCCTTAGCTCCTTTTATTTGACTATCAAACTCTTAATCATTATCATTATTAATATCAAAATCACATTCTTTCATTTATGAAATAAGTAAGTATTATTATACCCTTGTTAACTGTTACTCATTATCATTATCATTATTAATATCAAAATCACATTCTTTCATTTATGAAATAAGTAAGTATTATTATACCCTTGTTCTCCTCATGGCATGTTTGAAATTGCAACTTAAAACTATGATTTGCCCGGAAGTTTACTCGAACCTACCAAAATCCAACCTTTCCTTGAAGCCAACATTTGAAGTTGAACTAAGCCCTAATTTATGGGGTAAAAAAAACATAAAAATTAAGCGCCAAGCCTGGTCTATTAGCAAACTTGAAATTCAAGTTGTTAACTACATTTTCAACTTGAAAATAACGTGACCATCTAATTGTGAATCTGTATCCTCTCAGTACAATTTTTTTGTTATGTGCTCAACTGTGCATTTGCAAAATCTTTATTGTTTTGAGAATGCAAAACTTTTAGTTCAAGAATGTAACACTAGTTACTATGAAGGGACTTATGGTGGGTCATTGTAGTCTTGTGTTATACATTTGTTGTCACAGTTACTTTTAAAAGCTAAGATGATTCTCTTTGCTTACCAAAAAAAAAAAAAAAAAAATCCATTATGTCTCTCGTTTATTTATTTAAGTTATATATGAATCCATCACCACCTAAACGACCATTATTAAAGTCTATTATGAATTCTGTTGAAACAAATGTTTTTTTTTTCATTTTTGTTCTTTCCCTATAACCATTCAATTATTTTTCTTTCCTTTAATTTGTTTCCCAAACATATTCATATGTAAATGAACTTTGTTTAACTTGTCCTTTTCAGTTCCCACCATGTATGTTGATCACATTCATTGAATTTCTGTATATCTAATCAACCATGCAGGTGAGTACATTCATCATGTTCAAAATTTTTGACTTGATGTGAATTTAAAATTATGAAATTATACCTAAATCCACATTTAGATAAATATTCAACTCCTATTAACTGATCTACGGTTACATAAAAATAATAATAATAAAATTTAATAATTGTTAGGTATCAATTTAGTGATAGATTATGAGATGCACTGATAAATGTGACAACATCATTGAAAAAAGAAAAAAAGTAAAAATAAAAGACACATCTGAAAGGATCATTGTGAACTTAGTGATCCTTTCGAATCATTTTTCACTCAAACTAACATAATTTATTTCAGGAAATGATAAATTCATAATCACTGGAGCGTTGGAGTAACAAACACTCTCAAAAGAGATTGTGTGTGTTTATGTGTTATTTGCCTTCAAAACGTAAAAGAACTGAAGAAAAAAATTCACGTGATAACTCACATTGAGGGTAAAATTTTCATTTAAGAACCTTTTGGAGATTGGTAAAGAACGGACAATATCATCACACATAGGGTCAAACAGCCATCATGCCTCGAAATGGAATTGGCGAGGTTCCATATGAAAAATTGGCAAAAGATCAAGCAACATAGCACAATGACCAGACCCAGCTACCGTGAGATGATGGAATCGAGCCTGTAGAAATATCTGCTGCCAATCTTTACTAGCTAAGGCTTAATCCAAACGTTCTTGAATATTGGTGAAACCATGACGGTGATTACACCAGGTAAAGTGATATCCCTCGAAGCCCAAATCCAGTAGCCCACAATCAGTCACTAGATTTGTAAAATTCTTTTGAACGGTTTAGGAACACCAACTCATTTTTCCAAAAGTGACAACGAGTCATTAATTACCAATAATAAGACACCGAGCATCCCACGAATACTGCATTCATGTGTTTATGTGTTACTTTACCTTTAGAACGAAAAAGAATTCGAAAGAAGAAAAAAAAATCATTTGATAACTCACATCGAGGGTAAAGTTGTCACTCAAGAACTTTTTGGAGATCGGTAAAGAACGGAATCCCAGACGAGACAAACATGCCCGAAAGCCATCTCTCGTCGTCAGACTGAAATTAAATAAATATAATGATTTGCCTAAGGTACAATATAGAGACGCACCATTGACCATACTATATATATTTATTCCAAAACTCAGAAGTTTCACACACAAACACACACAGCGTCACATGGTTCTCCCCGCTCGCCTTGGATTACGGCCCCTCGTCTCTCTAAAACTTTTAGAGTGAGAAAAAAATCCCCGAAAAAAAAACTTTTAGAGAGAGAAAGTAAACGAAACAAAAATATTCCTGCCTTCACACCATCCAAACCCCTCTCTCAGACAGAAGGCAATGGTTAGCAATTGAAGCTATTGAACCCTCCGTCACCGTCTTAGCACAACCCCTTCATCGTCGTGCTGTCTTTTTGTCTCCATTTCCGACTTTATTGTTCGGAATATTGTTTTATTCTTTGCCCTCGGCGATGTCAACCGGTGGCGCCACCAACTCCTCCGGCAATGACAGTCACGGAGGAGTGGGTTCCACCACGCACCGTCGCCGAGTCGCAGATTTAATGCTTGACGCAGAAAAGGCGTCAGAATATATCACAAATGGGGTTGCTGTTGACGATAATGATGATGATTTGAACGGTAATAATGGTGGCGGAGACGGCAGTGCCGACCACCACCACCTGTTGATCTTGCAGTCTTTGAAATCGGGGAGGAATATGGGCCGCCTGATGTTCGGAATGTTGATGATGATTGCGGTGGTGTCGGTGTTTTTGAAGTTCTCCTTCATGATGGGTGATGTTCTTGTGGAGGTGAATTCGATGAGGAGAGAGAATAGGTTGGTGTTGCACCAGTCCTTTAAGGATGATGGGGCTAATGCTCAGAGGATTCTATCAGATAGTGAGTCATCTTCTTCTGATGCTGTTATGCCCAAGCGGTTATTGGAGAAGTTCACTGTAAGTCTGATCTTTCTGTTATTTGTACTTTTTTTTTTTTTCCTTATATTCTGTTTTCTTTCTGAGAAAAGGATGACATTGAAGTTTTGAGTTGAAGATGAATAATTAAATTCAAAGAAACCACTTGTGGAACTTTTTATAAATGACCCAAACTATACAGCTTCATTACATGTTGTTTTAACATGTATTTTCAGCAACCAAGTGAGGGATCAGGGATTTTGTGGATATCCTTTTTTATGGCAACTATCAATTGATTTCTATTTGCAACTTTTCACTGCTTTCTTTTTCTTTTATTTTTGCCTTTTTGTGTCATATAAAACATTTTTCATACCTGTTAGGCTGTTCCTCTTAATTTTTTTTTTTTTTCTCACAAAGGAAGTAAATACTTCCGTGGGTTTTTTGAAGGTTGCTTGTTTTGACCAATAAAAGGCAATGGGCGGCAACAAAGTGTTGATTGAATAAGGCCAGTTTGCCTTTGACCAGCAAAATCAGTGTGTTGATGGCTTTCTAATGATCAGTTGAACGTTGTGGTTATGGTCCTTTAGGCCTTTTGGTTTTAATTTTTATAAACATATGTGATAACACTTTTCTTTGACACTTTATTCAGATGATTCTTTGACACTTTATTCAGATGATGACGGAAAATAGCATTTTTTAGCCAATTTTATTGAATATATTGCTGTAAACAAGCAATTTTTTGTTGAAGCAGTTGGTTTAAAATTCCACCCTTATTCCCCCTTAGCAAAACTGCATAAGGCCCTCTTATTTTCATTAACTTTTTCAATATTCAAGTACATTAGTGGTGTGTGGCTCTGTCAATTATGCAGAATATTAAGGTTTTATTTGAAATTTTGATACACTTCACTCTAATGGTTGGATGTTTTCTTAATTGAAATTTTGTAGTATTTGTTAATCCACGATAGCTTAAAGTGAGCTTAGGACTTCTGTTTGGTTGTTGTTTATAGAGCTCAGAGATTTGGATGAAACCAAACAGCAATGACTTTTATCCATGCATTGCTCAGCGAAGGAAGAAAATACGTACGTTCCACTTGCTAATTCCCCATTTCTATATGTACCTTGAGCTAAATCAAGTATTGTTTGATATATGTGTGTGAACTTCTTTCAGGGATGGGTTCTGCAACCAATGGTTATATTCTATTTCATGCCAATGGTGGATTGAATCAAATGAGAATAGGAGTAAGCTTTAATTGTAGAAACTTAACATATCAAGTTGTGTTTACTTCTTCCCTGTCTTACTAACTCATAATCTTTAGTTAAATTTCTATGTTGATTTTACTGCAGATTTGTGATATGGTTGCTGTTGCAAAGATTATGAATGCCACCTTGGTTCTTCCTTCTCTTGACCATGAGTCGTTCTGGACAGATTCAAGGTATTGCTTTCTTGTGCTTGTGGTCTATCTGATATTCTCGTTTGTTCTTGATTCGATTTTCTTATATTTTCTTTGCAGTGATTTTAAAGATATTTTTGATTGGAAGCACTTTATTGAAGTTCTAAAATATGATATTGAAATAGTTGATTCTTTGCCGCCAAGCTATATGACCGTCCAGCCCCTTCTAGTGGCCCCCATTTCCTGGTCAAAGGTCTGGCAATAATGTGAAATCTCTTCAAGATACCATATCTGCTAGAACCTTTAATCTTAGATGTTTCTTATGCAGGCTAGTTACTACAGAAAGGAGATGCTTCCATTATTAAAACAACATAAGGTGATCAAGTTTACCCTTACCGATTCAAGACTTGCTAATAATGGCCTTGCAGTGTCTATCCAGAAGCTCAGATGTCGTGCCTGTTATGAGGCTCTTCGATACACAAACGAGATTGAGGAGCTTTCGAGGAAACTAGTTGACAGACTTGGGAAAAATAACGAGCCATATGTTGCTCTCCATTTAAGGTACATAACTAACATGACATATGTTCTTCAATTATCAGTTTTAAAGAGAACTTATTAGAAGGGCCTTGAGTGCAGGTACGAGAAAGATATGCTTGCATTCACTGGCTGCAGTCACAATCTTGCTGCAGAAGAGGTTGAGGAACTTCGTATTATGAGGTACAGTGTCAATCATTGGAAGGAGAAAGAGATAAACAGTGAAGAAAGGCGACTCCAAGGAGGATGTCCAATGTTCCCCAGGGAGGCAGCCCTCTTCCTCAAGGCCATGGGGTATCCTTCCACCACTACAATATACATAGTTGCGGGGGAAATCTATGGTAGTAACAGCATGGCTTCATTTCGTTCCGAGTTCCCAAAAGTTTTCACCCATTCAACTCTTGCAACAGAAGAAGAGTTTGAACCCTTCAAAGAATATCAGAATCGCCTTGCTGCCTTGGATTATATTGTAGCTCTTGCAAGTGATGTTTTTGTTTACACATATGATGGGAATATGGCTAAGGCAGTGCAAGGGCACAGGAGGATCGAAGGATTTCGAAAGACTATCAGCCCTGACAGGTTTGTAATCATCTTATGCTTTGGTTCTGGCTTTATTTTTTCCGTTTTCCTACATACAGTTCAGTCGCAAGTGAGATTTATATATGTGATCACTTCTTCATTTTCAGACAAAATTTTGTTACAATGGTTGATCAGTTGGATGAGGGTGTTATATCTTGGGAAGATTTTTCTTCAGAGGTGAAGAATTTACACTCCAACAGGCTTGGAGAACCATACCCGAGAGAGGTTGGAGAATTTCCAAGACTTGAAGAGAATTTTTATGCAAATCCTTTTCCTGGTTGTATTTGTAATAGATCTCAGGAGCAAATTAGTAGCATGCATCTTGACCGAAGACAGATTTAGGGTTGCTTCACAAAGATGGTGCATTGGTTTCATTCAACTTGACCGGAGATGGAGGTTTGGGTCGAGTGAATATGAATTGTTTTCAATAGGAAATATCTGGCCTGTTGTTAAGGTGCAAAATACCCATTGCTTCAGAGGTGGCTAATATGGGGTTCTCAAAGAAACTGCTTCGCCATTCAGAGAGCGTAAATCCCAGTGTCGAAGACAAGCTTAAGTTTTTGTTTATATTTTTTCAGATACAAATTCCCTTTTATCTGTACAAATCGCCATGGAACATACCAGCGATTTTGGGAAGCAAAGGAGGTTTACACATAGCTTTTAACACAACACAGGTCAGTTTCGTGTCAAAATTTCACTCTCCCTTGTAAATGTGGAGTAATAGTTTTTAGTTCAGGCTCTATTATTTCCTTAATTTTGTTTTCAAAGTCAATTGCTAAATTAGGTCTCGTTTACAAAATTGGATGTTATACTTGCTCAGGAATCATAAAAGAATTTTCTTTTTAAAGTCTTTCTAGAAGATGTCTTGCATCTTTATTTATTCTTCACTACTGAAATCATAATACATTAAAAGCTGGCTACAAATAAAGAAATCTTATATTTGGTTGTCAATTTTAACATGAGGGAAATGATTGATGGTTAAATTGACATCAGTTAACATCAACCCTCTTGTAAAGGTGGAAGTCAGTGCCACATGAATCCATGTATCTTTTCTATTTACTTTCAGTTAAACCTGCTTTATATTGCTTCCCAAATGTTAAGAATTGGGATTCAGAGATTTCTATTTACTTTTAGTTAAAACCTGCAGAGTTCAAGGATCGTTGTCAATGCTTTCTGAGTTGATCCGTAAAGGAGTTCTCTTCTGCCCTTATTAGTTCATTACCACTACCTTCATTCTTTGTTCGCCAAATATGATGTTCAATTTGATTGCTTTGTAGTAGTAAGGCCAAAAGGCTTTAGAATTCAATCATTCGTCCATATATTCTTGTGGAAACTAGAATTTAGGTATATTCTTTTTGGTAAAGTACATTTAGGTATATTCATTGATAAATTTTGTCAAGACTGTTGAGAACTTGTGCAGACATTAGGTGTTTCCGCAGGGACATGTTAAACATCTTATTTTTTAGTTTTTTGAATCTATAAAAGTAACTCTATCTATGAGTGTAACTTTAAGATATTCTTAGCCACTCAAATGTGCTTTAAGTTGCATGTGTAGATGGATGTATATATAAAAATAGTTGAAGAGGAAGAAGATAAATGAGACATTTGAGTATTGTTCTATCATCTTGGGTATTGTTCTATCAATAGCATCCGCGAAGCCCTACCTAGAATCATTTTTGAGCTTAAGTTCAAGCTCAGTGAATAACTTGAAACTACTGAATCGTTCAAGTTATCCAAATATTGTGAATAATTCTCAAATTTTCTCGAACATTTGATAATTACAAGTTATGAGACAATCCTGGATCTTTTTTGCCTATTGATTTTAAGAGTCGACAAAACAAAAGATGTGTTTTCATGCTCTATAATTAAAAGACATTGCCAATTCAGTGGTTTTATGTGTGAAAAAAAAATAAAAATAAAAATAAAAATCAGTGGATAGGATCTTTTGTTGGCAGTTTGCATATATGTCTTCCAAATATGTGGCTTTGAATTTTTAAAAATCCAACACCTATTTTTAGTCTAATGCACAGTTCTATTGTATTCGAGTGTAGATTAGATTTGCATTGCTTTTTGGAAGAACTTACTTTGCTTCGGGGCGGGTTATTTTCAGACTTCAAATTTTATCTATATTTTTCTGTTGTTATTTTTTATCAATAACAATTCAGTAGTGTTGGTCGATTGATTGATGTAATTATTTTAAGCTATATCTTTTGAATTAGGCATCTGAATCTATTCAGTATTGCTCATCTGGACAGAGTCTGTATTCATCCCATTATTTTCTACTCGGACTAATAAACTCCATACCCAAGTTTTGCTTTTTATGCAGAGTTCTGTATAGGAGTGAGTGAATTAGGGCATTTTTAAGCCCTTAATGACGGACATTTCTGGAAATTAAATGGTCAATTCTTGGAGAGCAACAAAAACCCCACTCTGTTTTGAGTGTCAATTTCAAAGGAGTGAGTGATAGGCCGAGTCGATCCAACCAAACATAACAAAAACAAACATGTCTTATTTATCAGTCTAACAACAATAACAGAGATACAAATACAACTCACTTTATATATTATCCCTTCTCAAAATTCATTCAATAGGTATCATGACCTCATTAGTCCTAAAAGGAGGCAAAGTCATCCAAGGTGGGTTGTACCTTGCCAACAAGAACTCCCCAATCACCTTATACCCGCCTCTCCCCAAGCTCTCCTTCAGCTTCTCCACCGTCCTTTTTACCACCTCCTCCGTCGCCACCCCACTAAACTTTACCACCCCAAACTTCCTCTCCCCCTCCTCCCTTATCACCACCCTCTCATCCACCGGCTTCGGCGCCTCCTCTGCCTTCTTGTACTTCTCAGGCAGTGTAAATTGCATGGACACCATCTTCTTCTCCCCCTCTCCTTCGCTCTTGGTCACCACCGGAGTTGTCATCGCAATCTTCTCGGACGATTTGGTTATCACCGGAGCCGTCATGGCAATCTTTTCTGGCTTGGTGTTCTGGGGATTGCCCATAACACCGATGTAGTTGGCTAATATGGTGAAACCAGCGTCTTTGTTGCCTTTGAATTGGGATGGATCGTAGGTGACTTCGGCTATAACAGAAGGTGAGTATTTTCGGATCTCATACTCGTTTGTTGATTGAATGACTTCGAATTTTGGGGTTTCAACACAGATCTTTCCGAGAACCATACCCATCCTGAATTTGAGTGATTATGTATGTATAGATTACTGATATAGAGATGTGGATGAAGATTTTGCAGATAGGTTTGTGATGTTGGGAATTGTGAATTGGTTGGTCTGTTTTATATAGAGGTGGAATTGCAACGAAAGCTTGCTTGGGCAGGGGGTTACAGACTTACAGGTGGGAATATGGCATTCTGTTTGGACTATCTCTTAAACGAGTGGCGGGAGGTCAAGTATACATGTGTGGACTTCATGTCTCCACGATATTTACAATGGGACATCACAAGTTTTTTTTTTTTTTTTTTTCAACATCACAAGTTCACACACACCCACATCTTACACGGCAACTGATTTCTTACAGCGCTACACACAAGCGCCTGTACGAGAGAGATTATTATACGGTCTCTATTAATTAACTCGTCGACATGCAAGCAAAACAGTTAAATAACATTGAGATATTTTTTAATTACCGTGTCATAACTGTTCATCATATAACAATTTCACTTAAACCTCTTTAGTTTTGGCCATATATCTTTCAAAAATAATTATGCAGTATAAATATTTGGTCTGTTTTTTACTTACATTTTAAAAGTTACTTTTTAATTATGTAAGATGTTTTTTACATATAAAATAACATTAATACCCTTCTAACTGACTATTGATAAATAAAAAAAATGATTGAAATGACTTAAATAGTTTTGGACTTTCATTATATAAATTTAAAATTTTTCTTATATATATATATACACACACATACATATAAAGAATAATTTTTAAAACATAATTATAAATTTAAAATTATAAATTTGTTAGTGTACAAAATGATATACCCTTTTAATTGTCTGTGGACTTAAAAAATGGTTGAAATGACTTGTTGACCTTCATTATATAAATTTAAAATTATTTATATATATACACACACAAAGAATAATTTTTTAAAAATAATTATAAATTTATAATTATATATTGGTCAAATAATTATGAATTAGTTGGTGTACATAATGATATATATATATATATATATATATATATATATATTATTTTATTTTCTTCTTCTTTGTAACTGTCGGCACCAATGATTTGAATACACATCAATTCTCGAGCCCTGCTCCGCTACATTCAAATGCGTCTGGGGTTGAATCATATCATTTTTTTTTTATCTGTTCTTTCAATTCAAAGGCCGAAGAAAAAAAAGAAATATTGTTTGTTTAAAAAAAAGAAACTGGCAAAGAAGCTGCAATTGCCGATCACTGCTTTTTCCTTTTTTATTTTCTTTTATTTTTTTTCTCCTTCATTACAATCAGCAAAGAAGCTCCAACAGCTGGCAACGACCAAAGTGAGGAGAAAGTGAGGAGGTAGTTACATTAAACAAAGGCAATAATTGACAATCAAATGCCAAAGCTTGTTCTCCACTGATGAGATCTTTGTTGTGGCGGTGGTGCCGACAACGACCAAGGTCAGTGAGGAGAAAGTGAGGAGGTAATCGTCGCCACCGATGAGACCTTTGTTGTGGTGGTGGTGAAAGCGAGGAGGGAGTATTGCGCCGGCAAGAGAGGAGCCTCAGTTAGACCCAAAATCAGTGAGCCTTAACATACCCAAAATCAGTGAGCTTCAATATACCCAAATCGGTGAGCTTCAATAAACCCAAAATCCGTAAACTTCAACAGACCCAAATCGGTGAGACAAACAAAATCAAAGCTCCTTGTTGGATAAATAGATGTTCAATCGAAACCAAAGTTACGTTCTGACCCAATCGGAAAGTCTCATTGCAACCTTTTATACACACACAAGACTTTAGGTTTGGTTAATTGGGGGTTCCGAAGAAGATGATAAGTAGAAAAAATAAAGGGATTTATAACGGCGCCTGCATGGTCTGATATCAAAATTCGCGCGCACACCCAACATGGGACCAGGAATGCCCTGCTGAAATTTTAATTTTTTATTTTATACCTTAATTTTTTTAAATTTTATGAATATGCACCCACTATAATTTTTTATCTTAAGAAAATTAAAAATAAAATAAAAAGGTAAGAAATACAATTTTTCATGAGTTAATTAAAAATAACATTCAAAGTTGAGTAAGGAAAAAAATAGATCTGTGGGCTTAATTACAAAAAAAATGGGTTTTTTAAGTTTAAAAGAGGTGTCAACTTCTTATTAGGACACGTTAGTGTGTAGGACACAATCTGTCTTGATGGGACCGAAGCATTGTTCATCTTCATTACTATCTGCAAAGAAGCTACAACAACCGGTAACGACCAAGGTCAGTGAGGAGGTAGTTACCGCCACCGATAAGACCTATGTTGCGGCAGTGGTGAAAGAGAGGAGGGAGTATTAGTACGCTGGTAAGAGAGGAGCCTTAATTAGACCCAAAATCAGCGTGCTTCAACATACCCAAATCGGTGAGCTTCAATAAACTCAAGATCCGTAAACTTCAACAAACCCAAATCAGTGAGACGGACAAAATCAAAGCTCCTTGTTGGATAAATAGATGTCCAATCGAAATCAAAGTTACGTTATTTTTTTAAATTTTATGAATATGCACCCACTATAATTTTTTATCTTAAGAAAATTAAAAAT